TATTGCATAGAACGCTATCCTTTTCTTTGAATCACTTTGTCAAACAAAGCCCAATTACTTTCTTGTCTTCCGTCAAAAACATCCAAATAATCTTTGCCCCCCTATGTGATGTTGAACCAGAAACATTACGACATTCTTTCATTGATTGCCCTTTAACGCTATCCTTTTGGCTCCAAGCACTGCAGCGATTACGCGCCCCACCACAAACATCGGACCAACTCTGGGGTGCTCCAAAATGCGCTTTTCCAATGACAACATGTTCTGGCGCTCTCACCTAGGCGCGCTTGGGGCTATGGTACAGGCTGTATGGGCCATGCACTGGCGAACGGTACTGGAAGGATCCCCTTGGAATCAATAAGTCGTTGACAAGCACCTTCAAAGCCTTCTCTCCCGTTCATCTCATGTAATTTCTACTCAAGATTTTGGGGCTCAGAACCCTCAATAAAATATACAAAAGAAAAAAAATTTCCAGGCTCATTCTGTTTTGTTGTCAGTACATTCTACTATGCAAAGTATGCAACGTGCCACCGCCATCTTATTACGTTCTACACGTTCAATTTTATCAATCTATACCACGCCGCTCATGTCTTGTCCGATCTTATTCCCAATCACACTATCCAGAAGAACAACAGCAACAAAGTACTACAGCAACTGCTAGTAGTAGCACCGAGAACAGTAGCAGCAACAACAACAACAACAATTCACTTGATGTACTCGATCGCGATATAATTTTACAAAAAAGTCGAAGTCCAAGATCTGAATCTTCCGATTCCACTCGTGATTTCAACAGTATGCTATACACGTTGTTCCCTGAGTCTCAAGCACAAGGATCGTCATTACCACCACTGCCACGAAAAAATAGTAGCAGTAGTGGCGCCAAGACCCCAGTGGATCCTACAGCTGCTAAATAGAGCAAGCGCATCCACTCGCAAATTGAAAAACAGTTATTAAACATGGTCATCAAGAGCCGAAAGCCGCATAAAAAGACATCACCACTACCACGTGGCATGATGGGCTCATTTTATGGCAAGGCCGACAACAACAAGAGCAAGCAACTCAGACGCGACCATGAATACAATATGGCAAGGATGACGAACAATGACGCGATTGCAGCAAGGGACAAAGAAACCAATGCTATCAATACCATTGTTGAATGTGCATCCAGTCGACAGTTACTCGAACGGGTCATGGAGTTTACATCGTCATCGTCATCAAGTTCAGCAGCAACAACAACAACAACAAAAGGAGGCTATCCACCCTATTATGCGAAATTATTAGAACGTGCGATTGAAATGGCAGGCATGACGTTCGAGGACCCCTATCTGGCACTGTCGATTTTCGAACACGCCAAAACCCACAGTGTTGTGAGCTACGTGTCTGGATGTACCACGGAGGTGTACAACGCCATGTTGATGATGCGATGGAAACTTTGGCGCGACGTACACGGAATGCTGAATCTGGTCGACGAAATGATGGCCAACGGTGTAGGATACGATACCGAGACGCGTCGGATTATGCAACTGGTGGTAGCCGAAGTGGAGAATGAAATGCGCTTGGATAATGATGATGACGAGGATGACGGTGCTGCTAGTAGCGATGTATATCGTTATGGTCCAAACATGAAGGATGGCATGGTGTGGAGCATGGATGAAAGACGATCCGCCAATATCATGAAAGCCCTAGTTGGAAAATGGTTGTTTAAATAAAAAACATTTTTAAGATGTGGGTCAAACATATCGAACCTTTTTACTCGATCGGATTGGCCGATAACGATGAACAATCGGCATTTCAACATGGTTTGGGCTGCTTGGTTCGGTTTTACGCCTTCCAGTGCCTGGTTTCACCTGCTTGTGACAGTTCCTTTTTTTTCCTTTCTTTCTTTGTCTTTCTAACTCTCTTACACCTCAATCATCCTCTCCCTACCTCTCTCTCTATCTTTTTATTAATAGCACCCATTAGCTCATTTTACATGGTCGCTACAAGGAAAGCTACTGCAACAAAAGCTCAACGCAACAATGGCGTCAATCGTCGTGTCACTCGTTCGACTACCGCCGCAGCGCTATGAAATATATCTAAGCTGTTATAAGATTTTGAAACATCACAAAACAAAACTCTTTAATCATTTAATCATATGAAAAGAGGCAGATTGAAGGTGTATAAAGAAAGAGTGGGAGAGTCGATGGTACAACTTGCCGTAAACGAAGTTAATGCAAATCTTGGTCCAGTCCCTTCTTTTGTGTAACCCCAATCGTCCCTCTTTTCGCCTCACCGTTGGTCCGCTGACAAAGGGTCCAAGAATTTTTTTTACAACCAAGGCATTGAACTTCAAAAATCCAATTACTACGTGTCCACTACACTGCTGAACGATACACCACAACAATTCAATTGATATAGAAGAAATGGATAAGGCACCGCCTTTTCAAGCTGACGAATCTCATTAAAAGAAGTGAATATATTATACTGAGAAGTGTTGCTTTTCAAAATCACGAACGCAGGTGCCTCTTCTTCTTCCTAACTGTTAGCTCTTATAGGCTCATTCTTCCTGTATTATCCAAAGAGGGTTGATTATGGGTGCAAAATGCTATAGTTTACTCATGATCACATAAACACTAAGGTACAGATAAAGTTGTTACAACATAACGAAAATCAAATTTTCCGTGGCTGTAGCTTATTTCCTGATGCATTACAGTAACCGAAACTAATTTTTGCGATTAGCCATGCTACAAAGTCTTACTGCCCATGGCCATCGTCACCGAGAAATCCTTTGTCATACTGACAAAGTCGAGGCCGATAAACAGATTTTTGAAACACAAATCGAATCTCTTCGTACTGACGTTCATCCACGTATAGTCGCTGATCCATATCATCATCTGCCACACGCTATCTGGACGCTGCTTAAATCGCAAAGATATCATCAAGGTTGGGCGTAACATCGAAAATGATATCACTCGGCTTTCACAAACTTCTCCTCAACAATTCAATGACCTTCAAGCATCCATTGTCGTGGACCTGTTGACAATATGCAACGAGTACAAATGCAAACTAATTACTGGATCAAAAGTCTGGCAATATGTGTGCAACAACTGTACAACATCGTCTATCCAAGGATTTACAACAAGGCAACTGGGAAGGTCGACTTACTGACGAGCAAGTACACTATGCAGCTTTGGATGCCTGGAGTAGTCGGCAAGTTTATCTCCAAGTGACATCGCCTAGAAACGACATCATAAATCGACGAGCTGGTGTACATGTAACGGTACTTAGCGACGACGGTACTGTGGAGGTGGCGCGCGGGAAAATCAGCGATGCTAGACAAAGTGGGTATGTACATATTCTCTCCCTTACAGTACCTACTGCTTTAGGGGAGGATTGCAAATGAAAGAAAAATAGTTGTAGTTCTGCGAGAATGCTCTTTTCTGCTGCGGGTGCTTCATTCAAAAATTTTGGTGTGGAAAATTAGCTGCAATAAAACATTGAGGTATCTTGAAAATCCGGCATTTTCCATGCCTACGAGATCAATTTTTTTTTGAATCATAGCTATAGCATCAAAAGAAAGGAAATAAGTAAAATGAGCAAAGTGTGAGGATCAAATTCCTGCTTCAATATATCCACTCTTATCTAATGAAATCATGCCACAGCAAGCTTGTTGGATCCTTGAATACGCGCACAATAGCATTTACCCATATTTGACCCTGTGTTAGTAACGGAGCACGTTCGTTTCATCATCACGCTGATATATACGATCAAAGTTGACGAGACGAGAGAAACCCCAATTGTCTTCTTCTGAGGTAAACCTATGACGAACAGCTAATAAAGCGAATAAGAGTTGAGATGCACATATACATGGGGTCGATGTAGCGAACGAACTTGAAGAGCAGTAGTATCCATTACCATAGCTTACATAATTAGTAGTGCGGATGGGATAACCAATACTGAAAAAGTACATGATCCCACACATACATAGTCGCCGCTTCTGTGAATGCTGTGCAAATTAGTAGGATACTGACACTGTCTGCTATCGTTGTCATTTTTATTGTGGCATTACACTCTTCTTCAAGATATAAACACTGAGTATACGTTGGAGTAAATACGTGCTAAGAAAGAGAGTGTATTCAGTACGGTTGCACTTGTTGAATGGCGGAACTTTGCTTGATGAAGGGAAGCAGCGATCTGATTGGTTGTGCTGAAGTATAAATACGAAGTCTACGTATCCTAAAGAAAAACGGGCCTACCGTCTTTTTTTCTCACACATAAACTAATATGTCCTCACAACAATTCTATGAGCTGTACCGTCGCAGCAGGTGTGTGGTCTTTTAACGATTGTAGCAATTGTTTTGGAGTAATTGGTGATCAACAAGATTGAATATTAACGTTATTACTAAAGTATCGGAATGGCGTTAACGGATTCCCTCGATGAGTTGATTCAAAGTGGACACATCAATCCACAGTTGGCCATGCGTGTTCTCACTACCTTTGACAAGAGCATTTCAGAAGCATTGGCGCAGCTCGTACGAAATAAGGCTAATGTCAAGGTGATTAGCGATCAATAGTAGCAGTAGTAGCAAAGTTGGAAATTAGTTATTGATCTCTTGAGTAATATAATTCTTGAGGGGTGGTTTACTGACTGTATACACTGCTACTTTATGTATAGGGGCACTTGCATACATACCGTTTCTGCGATGATGTTTGGACTTTTATCATTGAAAACCCCAACTTTAAGTTTGAACAAGACAGCGTATCTGCTGACAAGGTCAAGATTGTCGCCTGTAACGCTAAGCGTCCTGGAGAACAATAAGTTCCTCCTTCACAAGCTGACCCACACAAATACACATACATACGCCATATATTACGTTATATTACACTTCTACCCATCTCTCCCACTTTCCGCTTCTATACACACGCAGCACACACACACACACATCCACACAATCCTATACATCGCAACAGAAAAAAACACGCATGAAAAGAAACGCATGATGAAAAGAAAAGATTCACTTGTGCCACAGTCCATTTTCATTCGATTTGTAGATATGATTTACTCTAAATAAAAGAAAAACCGAAAAAAAAATCACAAAATAAATGAAATCAGTTATGATGAGCTTTCATCTGATGAAGAACCATCATCGTAAGATGCCAGCATGGATAGACCTCCACTTGCTGCTTTTGGTGGTGATGGTGCTTTTTGTGGGGTATTGTTTTTGTTCGTAGTAGTGGTTGCCTTTTTCTCATCCGTCGCTGTCTTGCGCTTTATGGCAATACCAAAACTCTGTTGTTCCGCTTTCCGTTTCGCCGCATTGTTTTGTGTGGCCGTCGTCGTTGATGAAGGCGCTTTGAATGAAGTATTGTTGTTCAACGGTCGTTGTGCAGCCACGAGCGAAAACACATCCGGCTCTTCTCCATCCGCCAACTTGCGTACACGTTCACCATCGCCTGACTGGAACGCTTCCGTCGCATGCTGTTCATCTTCCAAACTTTCCTGCTCTAATCGCTGCTCCAGAGCAGACTTGTCTACCATGGTGAATCGTTCGAGTACATCATCTACATCAACACGTTCACTTCGTGCATTGCGTAATCGGATTTCGTCTAATGCATCCAGAATCTCCATTTCTCGTTTCGAGTCCAGTGTTCGATTTTCTAACGCTTTCATGGGATCGTCTACTTCTTCCTCTTCCTCTTCGGGTTTCCCCTCCTCATCCTCGCCTCGCCATGGTTCGAAGTTTCGACTTGCACCGAGTTCAGCTATATAATCTGTATTTTTTGGATCTGTCTTGAACGTAATTTCAGCCGAGCATCGTGGGCATCTAAATGTAGTTTGGAAACGTATACTTGATTAATTACAATTTTTCTCTTTTACATCCCTACTCAGAACACTTACCGAATGTAGAATCGAAAGATCTTGATGTTTAGGTATATTTCGCCTTCAACTGTTTCCTTCCGCGCATTAAACTTTTTTCCCTTGTAAATGTATTCACCACAGCTCTCGCATCGCATCGAAAATGGTGCCATCAGACGGACCTTGTGTTGCTGATCCTTAGGTCGCTTTCTGATTTATTACATGAGTTAAATGTATGACAGGAAACAACCACTCCTTTTATGAGCTAATCAGCTATACTTACTGTCTGGGAATTTGCGACGGATCAAAATTAGGAGGGAAGTATTTATTGAGCACCTTACGTTCAGACATTGTGTGTGTTTGGGAAGGACAAGTCGAAAAAAAGAAAGAGAAGTGCGGAAGTTGTCCGGATGAACCAGCTTTTTAAAAATCTCTCCACCGATTTGCCATTTACGGTAAACCCACTTCTCTACAAAAAAAAAAGTTGTCAGTCCCTCGGTATGATACGGACGCAGATACGAATCTTATATATTAAAAAAGGCAGCTGCATTTATTGCTACTGTGGTACTCGAACGATATTGGAGAATTGTATGATACAATAGAAAAAGAAACATTGGAGCAAGAACCAAGAAAAAAAAACTAGAAGAAAAGGAACTACATTTGCGTCATCTCCCTGCGAAGCCCTTCCTGTTGCTGTTGCTGCTGGCCCATGGCACTGGACGTATCCGAAACGTCCACTTGCTCTAGTTCTTCAGCTGTATCCGAAACGATACCATCATCTTCAGCAATAATCTTGGCCGCATGATGTTCCTGTCCACTGCTGAGGTACGCGGCTGGTTTTTCTTTTGACACAACCTTACTATCAATCACAACATGTCTAATGTGGGAATTGGGTGACTCATACATTGGCTCCAAAAGCAAACCCTCCTAAGTTAATGAAAGTCACAGTTGTTGCTGCTTTTTAGTGATAAACTTGATTATATGCAATAGTGACCATGTGTATAAGGATGCATTACCATAATTCTTCTGAGACCTCGAGCGCCAGTCTTTTTCTCCAGAGCTTCTTCAGCAATACGTCTCAGTGCACCTTTGCTAAATTGAAGAGTAATCTAAGATACAGTAACGATTGTATGTATAAGTACTGTATATTAACATACATCCTTGATTACTTAGTTTCTCTCAACGTTGCAATCATGCTACCGTACCTTGTTGAGCTCAAACAACCCTTGATATTGTTTAACGAGAGAGTTTTTGGGCTCTTCAAGAATCCGCACTAGATCATCCACCGACAAGTTGTTCAATGATGCAACGACCGGTACTCGCCCAATGAATTCGGGTATTAATCCATATTTGACAAGATCTGGATATACAAGTATACAATGAGACTTTTTGAAGAAAGAAAGAGATTTTATAAGCTCGAAACAGCATCACTTGCCTGCAGGTTCGACATGCTCCAACGGTCTTACAGTATTGGGTTTGTTGTTATCCTTGTCATCATCCGATGCTGATCTTAGGGTAGCATCAAAGCCTATAGACTATGTGCATATAGGTTTAACGTTTCTCTCTCCACACAAGCAGAAAAAAGCAGCATAAGGATGAAGGAGAACGTTCGCCAAACTTAGGTATTAGCTTTAATTACTTACTCCTTTGGCAATTCGATCCATCACCGTCTTATCCAGTCCAATGAATGCGCCACTGAGAATAAACAGGATATTGCTCGTATCAACGGCATATACTTCAGGCTTATTCTGAGGTGCGCTTCCACTGAACGATCCACCCGTAGTTAACCCACTACTGCCACCTGCAGGTCCTCCTGATCCACCTCCACGTTTGCCTGGTCCAGAACCACTGCCGATTGCTGATTTGTCTGTCACGTTTACGATCGTTCCTTCCAACATCCGTAATAAAGACTATGGACGGGATTTGCATCATAGTGGGGTGTATAAGCACATTTAAATGTTCCATTTTTTGCTCCCTCAACATAAGTAGCACCACTTGATTAATAGAAAGAAATTGAAAAGGCTCAAGCCTTACTTGCTGTACTCCTTCCCCAGAAACATCCCTTGAGGATGAAAACGTATCGGACCGTCTTGATATTTTGTCAATTTCGTCAATAAACACAATACCAGTTTCTGCTTTCTTGATATCGTGATCGCATGCCTACACCGGTATACACGTTGATAAGTTGCCATTCCCATGAATACTGACATGTATAGCAGAAAGGAGATCAACTAATTTAGGTTTTTAGCCTGAAAGTAGACTTTTTCTTATACCTGCAGGAGTCTCTGGATCACAAGCTCGACATCTTCACCGACATAGCCCGCCTGTGTGAAAGGGGTTGCATCTGACATGGAAAATGGTACTTGCAGAATTTGCGCCAAAGTTTTCGCCAACAATGTCTTGCCTTTTATAAATATGCAATAATGTAAGTTTTTCTTCTATGCCTTGTTAACAATAAACAAGAACTACAGCAACAAGCCAGGTGACTTACCCGATCCAGTAGGCCCGATTAATAAAACATTGCTCTTTTCAAAAACAGTTCCATCATCTGCGTCAAGCGATGATTGCTCTGAGGACGCGTGCCGCGGAGCTATCGGCTGGAGCATTCCGGATGCAGCAGCAGAAGAGGATGAAGAAGAGGAAACACCGGGAGTACTACTAGTGTTGCTTCCTGGGGTATTACCGTCTGCTAATCCATTGTTGTTGGACCAGCTTCGTTGTTGTGATGATGCTGGTTACAATAACCGTCGTGGGAGTAATAATGGGAATGTACACATAGAGTGCAGGCGTCAGTTTCTTTTTGCTCATTCGAAGCGTAATACATAAAACTAGGTTTTCTTCTCACCAGCTCCCCTATGTTGCTTTTGTATTTACCATAAGATGATACTCGCTCGACCGGGACAAGGCCGCCTGTCACTTGTACAGTAGGGTTGCTCCCTCCATTACCAGGGTGATGATTAGCAGGATGATACGATGTGTCTCTGTGGGGCCAGCCAGTAGCAGTGGAAGAGGTAGTCCGGTCATGCTCCGTCGTGTTGTGATGCGGTATGCCGCCACTACCATCGGTTGTAGTAGCATCAAGCTGGTCCGCCTCCTGCTCGCGTTTAAGCTGCCGATGCAGGTTAGCTCGGACCCGATTGTAATGATTAAAAACAGCTACTGCTAAGATCTTCTTTGCTTGTTCTTGGCCGATAATATATTCGTTCAAATGCCTCACGATCTGATAACAAGGAGAGACAGACCCTTCTTCAATCACTGTCATCTTATTGTTTGATGGCCCCAACATTATATCATACTTTCTTCTTAGCTTACCGTGCGAGGATCACTTATATTCGCAAAGTAGCTCAGCAGCTCCTCTTCCTCCAACGTTGCTTCGCGTCCTGTGCCCCCACCATACTTTCCTGTGGCCCCACCACCCGTGGGTGGAGGATCCTGGTCAGAAGCATGATAAAAGTATCGTCTTCCGTATATGTAGGGTGCTACGGGAATAGGTCGACAGCGACCGATCGACGATGGCAAAAATCGTGAGGTAGTAGCAGGCTTATTGGTGGTGCCTGGCCATTTTGACGACGACGACGACGACGACGACGAAGAACGATAGAGTATGTTGCTGATGCGAGCATAAGATTGTGTGCAGGGTAGTAATGAACTATTGCCAAGTTTAAAGTGTTGGGATTGAGATCGACAGACTTGCAATGGGTGTCTCATGGAGGTTAGGGAAAAAAAGGGGGGGGAGCGTAATAAGGATAAGAAGTAGAAGAGAGAGGAAGAAAAAGAAATGCTGTAATGTGTGTTAGGTGTGAGTATGCGTGCTTGCGTGTGAAATAAGCTGCAGCAAACATCATGCGTTGATTACGTTCGGCGCTTGAAGATGTCGACGGAAGCTCCTTGGCTTCCTCATTTGTCGTGAACAGGTATAATCCGCGCCGCTCTCTTCCGACATTATCTTCAGCAAAGCAAGGGGATGAGGGAATGGAACAGTACAGTTACCTTTATCTGAATACCATTGTAGATTTTCCTGTATAGTCGCAACTGCAGTTGCTCGCCAGGCATATTTTATCACTCGAAATTTAGTAGTGTTATTCCACATAAACTTATGGGTTACGACTAGTTAGACAGCTTTTTGTTGATAAGGACAGCAGAAATTCGATAAACAAGGTCCCGCCATGTAGCATTTGATGTCATGAGCAGCAAGTAAAGATGCGAATAATGCTGGCCATAAGTACTGTCATGATGAACAGAATCGTCTCACGGTGTCGATCTACACAATTGGCCAAGCAGAAGGGAGGGTCACCATTGTTGCTGCTGCATTAAATACAATACATCAAGGTTACACACACGCGTAGTGTGAGAGCGAGAGAGTAAGGCAATCTTTGCTCGCGCCATTTAAAGGGTTGCGTGCGAATAGTAGGTAATACATCCTATGGAGAGCTTTGAGAAATCATACTTCTTGATCCCTCCAGTAGCTTAGTTGAGGCACACTGATACAAAGTATGTCAAGCAGCATGAGGTTTAACTAATTGTTGTATGAAGTTTTTATGATGGCGTCTAATACACCTATGTTACGTATAGGAAAGTGCCTGTTAGCTTATAACAAGTACAAAAAAATGTCAGTTTTACTTAAAACATGGCGTTAAACTTCACCGATTGGCACCGATTATGATACTAAGAAACCTCAACCATATGCAGACGGTTAAGCAAGTAAAACACATTCTCCAAACATAGCATGGCCACCAATTGCCTTGATGCGATGGCATAATTAAAAGCAGGACTTTAAGTGCCTTTGCTTAGAAACTAACAAGATAGCAACCACGCGTCGGTTCATTCCGCTTGCCAAGGCTGACGGACGACGGCCTGTGTGTATCGATCGAGCTTTTTGCGTGAGTTAGAAACTGCCTGCCCCATCAATTAGCCTTGAGTTTACGTCCTAACCAAGCCAACAAACCAAAAGAGATTTATTACGATCACTTGGAGATAGAATAAAGTGCGGACCCCTGCCTCCATTCTCTACAAATTTCATGATCCAAAATCATTGAATGGGAACAGTAATAGCACGACATGATACCTATCTAGATATATAAGGCTACAAAAGATATTGTGTAAAGAGGTACTTTGGTCGCTGACAACGTAAAAAGCTAGTATGATACTGCCGCCTAATTCTTGACATGCACAATATTTAGCCATAGGGTCTATATAGTAAAGGTGTCATCACCAAGTAAGCTGTATAAAGCCATCACCGTAGTATAAAGCGGTCATCGACCTCACTGTTCCAGAATGGAGTACACAGCAATACCGATCGGACACTGATGTACTACAATCTAAACAAAGTGGTATGACAACGTCGTTATGTACTTGCCATCAAGTGCTTGCCTGACAAGTAAAACATAGCATTATGGTATGTTCCTTTCTGCTTCTCAAGGCGCTGATGACATGCATTGTACATGTTGTACTGCTGCACGTTGTACGTGCATGTATGCTAGTCGGAATCCATATGAACGCCTCGTTCCGTCTCGTCTTATGGGGACTCTTAAAAGAGCCTGTCGTTTTCATTAAAATGTAAGGTCAAAATGCTTAGGGGAAGTAGTATAATGGAGATAACGTAAAAAGTATCTTCGTGCTCATTTTACATTTTTGAAGATCGATCCAAGCTGCTGACGAAGAAAAGATACTTTTACGGATCGTGACATATAAATAACAACAACAATTTAACCAAACTAAATGTGGAAGCTGATGTGCATCATTGGTAAACAAGATGATGGGCTCGCCCTGGTTTGTTTTGGTGGGCTCAGCACACACACACACACACACTCTCTCTCTCTCTTCAGACCAATAGTGCACTGTTATCTTTCATCGGTGAGAACTCACACGTCTACGCGTAGCGGTAGGTTCCAAAACCATCGTCCAGAAATAACGACGAATAACCAAGTTGTCTTTTTTACTCTGGTAATATATCCACAATATACAGACACAATATGTTTAGCTCTCTATTTTTAAATGTATAATCCTTGCTTTCGCGTTACTTGGATGTTTCTTCCTTCAAGTAAGCAATGACATCAGCTCTTTCCTGCTCCTTCTTGAAACCAGCAAAGGCCATCTTGGTACCCGGAATGTACTTTTTCGGGTTTTGCAAATAATCAAACAGTGTTTGCTCTTCCCAAACGACGCCCTTGTTCTTGTTGGCCTCGGTGTACGAGAATCCTGGAACTTGGCCGGATTGACGTCCAAATAGACCGTGGAGCGCGGGTCCGACCTTGTTGCTGCCTCCCTTCATTGACACATAGAACGGACAAACAGTTACTTTTTTCATATCACGCTGTTTCGATTGATGTGTTTATTAGTGGGGCTTACAGGTTCACAAGTGTGGCACTGAGCACAACGAGTCTTGAAGAGCTTGGCGCCCTTGGTTTTATCTCCTGCTGGGATGCCCATTTTGTTTAAATAATGAAAGAGTGTTGTTGAAGTGAGAGTGGGGAGTGCGAGAGAAAGAAAAAAAAAAGAATGTAGAAGAAAAGAAAAAAGAAACAGAAAATAGGTGGCCTGCATGACACCCATGATATAGACGAGCGGTAACATGGATATTTTAGGCAACCTGATGATGCAACAAAGACGTATGGTGGGGTTTCTACCATTGATTGGTTGGCTGGTTGTTTACAAAGAGAGAGGGAATGGAAAATCTCCCTTTGCATGAGGATGCGTGGTGACAACAATAGCAATAGAATAGCTCAAAGGAGTGGGTATATTGGAACTTTGTACAGGTGGATGCTATAGTAGTGTAGATTATGAGGAAGGTGCTTTCGAGAAATCGTAAATGGCTATTTCACCGCGGTGGGATGCACTGACCACCTTGGCGTCGCTGAGCTTGACCGACGTGATGCTCTTTGCGCTTTCGTCACCTTCTTCGAGGGAATACATTGGCAGGCCACTAGCGACGTCCCACAGTTTGACTGTACCAAGGATCGAGCCCGATACAAGTCGTAACTTGTCATACGCCAAAGCTGTGACGCCATCAGTATGGCCCAACAGTGTGCGTATGCATTTACCCGTTTCCATGGACCAGATGCGGATTGTGCGGTCGAGAGAAGCGGACATTATGACGGCATCCTGTTGGAGACAACCAGGAATAGCGACTTGAACTGGACCCATGTGGCCTTGAAACACGTGTGAACACGAGCGTGTGTCGAGATTCCATAGACGAATCGTACCGTCGGCGCTGCTAGAAACGACTTTATTGTGCTGATAAATCTGCGTGTGTGTCACTTTGTCGGTATGGCCTGTCAGAGCGTAACACTGACCAGTTTGGAAGTTCCAGATTTTCACTGTGCCATCGACGGAACCACTGGCTAGAATGCGCGAATCGAAATGGAGATGGACAACACCGTCGCTGTGGCCTTCGAGTGTCCGAATGCATTGTCCAGTGTGGTAATTCCATATCTTTAAGGTATGATCCATCTATTTATATTGTATGTTGTCAGTATTCGTACAACTCAATGTGTTCAAATTCGAAGAAGAATGTTTGATAGAATGGATAGCAAAGTAGCGTACCGATCCTGTTACGAGTTTGGTATCATCGAATTGAAGGGCTTGAATAGAACGAGAATGGCCTTTGAGTACGCGCAAAACCTTGCCGGTTTCAAGGTCCCATACAGTTGCTGTGCCTTCGGTCGAGCCAGTGATGAGGATATTTTGCGCGTCGCAATACTGTAAACAGAGGGCACCTTCTGGTTGCTGCAACTTTCGAGTAGTATGTCGGTGCTTCCGCCAGTTGCGCTCAACAACCAATCGTTCGCTGTATACTTGCTTCCATGGCTTACGATCGGCGCGTTTGGGCGCAGGTGATGCCTCTTCTACTTCTGTACTTTGTCGTTTTCGGGAAATTACAGCAGTAGCAGTCGTAGTAGGATGGTTAGGGTCGAGACGGATAATGCGACGTTTCTGAAGCAAAGGCAATCCCCAACCACATTTGTGGCACTTCTTGTCAATGTGTTGCTGACACATGCGGTGCCAAAGGATGTCATCGTCGGCAATGGCTTTCCATGTGCGGCTGACTTGACAGGCAGAGCACAAGGACTGGGCGTCCAGGTAGGAAAAGATCTTGACGCATACTTCGGTTGGCAGGATGGCGGTAAAGTCGACTCGGAGTAAAGGTTCGATAGAGTTGGCGAGGAAGGAAAGTTGGGAGGTGCAGCAAGTGGTGAGCAGACCTTGTAGGATCAGTCGACGCTGAGATGCTGGTGCGGAAGAAAAGGTGGTCCAAGCTGTGGCGATCGATTGTTGGTCAGCTGCAGGTAATAGTGCGAGTTCCTAAAAAAGAAGAACAAGCAGTAGCAGGATTGTTATTTATCGCTTGTTCTCTCCAAGTGATTATTGCAGTTTATGGTAATCCGCCTTTTCCCCGAATAAAATAAAAGCACGAACCTTGTAAAGATCCTCACGAGCGGTTTCGGTTCGCACGGGTTTCAGATCAGGTCGATGTCGGTAGCAGAAGGATTGGGCTGTCATTGGTGTCGTCGGTATGGAGGGATGGAGGGGGGAAGAGTTTTATGTAGCGTGTATATGCGGGTGGAAGAGAAAAGAGGAAAGGGTAGGGGGAAACAGGTGGATTATATATAAATGATAATGCGGGCTTGATGGCGCAATTTCGTTTAAAAATACCAGAGACTCTTGTGATTGGCTGGTCATCACATCATTTATGGCAGGCCTGGCGAATTAGAAATTTTCGGTTGATTCGTCGTCGTGCTCTGGAGGAGGTTGTCAAATCGATGGGAAGCAGGAGTGATGAAATCGGTGGAGTAGATTCTTCTTCTGTTCTTTCGGAGGGGAGGCTTGTTATTGCTCATTGCCGTTGTGTTTGATTTGTCGCCCATGAACATGAGAACGGAAATACTCGAGTGGGGTCGATTGCACCACACACCCACCTAATTATGGTTTGACAGCCAAACCCGTTTGGGGCAAGGAGGAATGCTTTCTGCCCTATGAACTGATTGTTTGTTGTTATCGCTACTGTGCTACCATGTGCCTCTCCTTTCTCTCGCCATAACGTTTCTCTGTGCGATGCTGCTTGTCGCAATTTTTTGTTTTGATGAGAATTGCTTCTATGCAATAATATATTCGTTTTACAGCATCTGCTGTGTGAGGTCTCCGAGGCAGCTTTAGTAAAGAGGGCGGATGATTTGAGTACCACCTTCATGTTGTCTACCTCTTCTTGGGACGTTTTTAATACTGTCTAATGTCTATTATATTATTGTTGTCTTACATATGCTTCTACTTTTAGAAGCTTTTAAGTCTCTCAATTCAAAATGAAACCTGCGATCAAGTGATAGCCAGAAAGACCATGCACATGACATAATCCTTCTTTTCAAGACGTTGCAGAGACACATTGACGTTGTATCTGTTGTAAGATATAAAACATGACTCTTGCTTCTATACTTTTATCTCTCCCTTTCCTCTCCTTCCTCACTCAAAACAAAGACAAATTGTCAGAAAACGACAGTAGTGATACTGCTGGCCATAACTACCATTGACAAAAAGAAATATAGTAGACACCATCATACGGGACTTGATGATAGACCCATGCAATAAACTTTATATGTACGCACCCTCGAATTATATCTTTGTCACAGTTAAAAACAGTAACAACGATGTGTCCTACAAAGTGTAAGAGCTGACAGTCAAACATGACCTTTATCATCCTTCCTCTTATTTCCACAAAACAGTTCTTTTTCTTACCATATCTGCAGAGCCAAATAGCTCGTACCTATCAAGCGTCCTGATGGAAAAGAACCAATGCTGGCAACCCCTACAATATCAATACCGACGCCAGAGAATGAATTAAATCCTGCGACGAATGCTACTTTGTTAAATATCAGAAAACTACCAGCCCCGTGTGGTTTGAAACTCCAAGAGTCACACGTACGTTAGATTTAATACCTTACCTGGTAGAAATTTAAAAGACGTCTATATCAGCAATATCTCATATGCAAAGTCTTCACGTCCGAACCTCGCCACACTCAGATCTACTACTGTGTATCGCTAGAGGTAGGTTGCAGGTAGTGGCATGGTGGTGAGTAAGTACTGGGTCTTATCAGCAGATTTGGCGGCAAGATTTTGCCACAGTGAGCATCGCTACCGATACATATCATATTTGAAGTTGTTTATCGAGAGAAAAAAAAAATGTAAGATAACTAGAGCCTTCCTGGTATACTGTAAAGAGTTCAGCGGGAGAGGGGAAGGATCGACTTCCATTCTCTGCACTGATCACGGTTAATCAATATCAATGCTATGATAAAACCATCGATATAAACAGCGCCCAGGTTATTATCAGGCGAGCGCAGCGCTACTGGCTTTCAATGATCATCATGCTGTTAATGTTATGAGTAGAATTAACAACGTCATTGATGCTGAGCCATTATTCATAGAAAATTTAAAAAGAAAACCAGCAATAGTGATGCTATTTGTGCTCAGGCTTTATACTATAAGCGACTTTACTGATGCGTGAGCACCCAAAAAGAGTACTGCCGTACACCCAGCACAAATGAAAAATCTATACGCTTTTGAGTTAAGAAGTCTTTCTGTCAATCAGCCACAGCGGGAGTTGATGAACAGCACCTCAAACCACAGTACTGTGACACGAACGTGCTCAGCTCTTCTGTGACACAAGAAGCCGTTTGTTTTACCACAAATTGAAAGTTTGTCCATGTAATATTTTACAGAAGAAAGCCAAAGACTACTTCATATACTCGTGTCCATACAGGATGCACCCAAAAAGGAAATTAAGCGATCTAGCCGGTCTCCTTTAAAGCAGGGGGCAGGTTACTAAGTAATGATGAGGTACTGTATTTTTTGCTTACGACGAACAATTGTACCATATGTCTCAGCTTTGCCACTTGTGATTATCATGTGCTACACAAAGTATCCATTCCACACACTTACACACTATACACCGTCTCAGTATATGGAGAGATATTGCTCAGCAAAATGTGAGCTGAGTCGGTCATCTACTGCTGCAGCAGCCCTTACGCACTCGTAGATACGCAAGCAAGGGGGAACAAGAAGGATGCATCGATCAAGAAGATAGTAGCATTGACAGGAGATCATCCTTTATTTCTTTGAGTATAGTGTGTTGAATCTTGGCCACGTTTACGCCACTTGGCAACCCTTTTTCACCGGGTTTCTTTTTTCTCTCTGTGGCGGCAATAGCCATATACGGATTCCAAGTAGCACACAGCTTCGATATGTGTGTTCCCAAATTTTGAAACACCGCGGAAATGGTGCATCCAAAAGCTTATATAAAAAGTCCGCTTTTTCGGCTGTGCTTTTTTTCTTTCGTTCGTTTTTCCTTGCTCTTCTGGTTCTCTTGTCTTTTTCTGTCATTGAAGCCCGTGCACATTTTTAAAAATTATGAAGATATCAAACATAACTCTGTTAATACTCGCATACCTTGCAACCGGTATGGATCATTTAAAGCCTAATATTTTTAATTACATTTTCGATGGAAAACAAACAAAGCAAGAGAGCCTCACGAATTGACTCTATTTATTTTTCTATACGCATAGCTGCGCTTGGTAAAGGTGGCGGCGGAGGAGGTCGTGGTGGAGGAGGTCGTGGCGGAGGAGGTCGCGGTGGAGGAGGTCGCGGTGGAGGATCTTCTGGTGGAAGCCGTGGCGGCGGCTCGTCTGCGGGCCGTGGCTCCAGCACTGCATCAGGTCGATATGGCAACAGCAATGGAGGTATGAATGAGGTCATTGATACAAACAATCGAATAGCAAAAAGAAAACCTTACTAATGATTTTACGCAAATGATTGGTTTTTTTAGGTAGACCTGCCATGACACAACCTGGCGCAGCAGTTGGTACCAGAGCAGGCAGTTACAGTTACCCTGCTGGAAGTACGTCGTATCCAAAAGGCGGGTATGGTGGATTTGCAGGCAGTCCTCCGCCATATAGTTATGCTAACACACGAAGTAAGTTCCTGACTTTCTTTATATTCTTCTCATACTCTTTCGCTCTCTTTCTTCTTCAAGATATCATGAACCGTATGGAATCCTAAACAAATTTTCATCAATCGCAGCCAGCTATACGAGATATCCAACAACATATACTGGCGGCTATGGTGGCGGCACACGAAGTGGATGGGTAGGCGGCTATAATCCAGGACTCATCTACTGGTCTATTATTCCTGCGTGGGCATTTATCGGCTATTACGGCGCTTATCATCGTTTCAACCAAGACGACGGTGCTTACTACGCACCCGAAATTTCTGCTGCTTCTTCAGGCTCGTACGCAGTCTTGAACGGCACCGAAAACACTAGCGATGAAGACAATTATTATTACACGTTCAACATGACCACCGCTTACTCGTACCCCATGGCCGATCATGGTTTTGTCGCCTCGTCCGATCCCGAAGAACCCTGCCAACTTTGCATACCGACTCGCATTTGCTCACATTGTTGAATTTAACGATGCCAACCAAAACGGTTTTTATGACGACAATGAAGCCATAGTGTCAGCCGTGTCTTTAGACAATGTGGCATGGGACAACATTTCCGTTAGCAATCAGACGTCTCCTGCTAATGCGTCCTTGTGGTACTATGAATTCGCTACTGTCGGTCGCAATTTGACGCATACACGCACCCAACAACCCTTTGACGCTTATCTGACCTGGCGCTCGACGAATCTGCAAGTCAACATGACCGAAGGTGTGCCTCTGCAGCCCAATTCTTTACAGTATAATTTGACCCTTGCCAACTACCCAGCCTTGGCGAATAGCACGCATCGTTTGGCCATTGCTCAGATCTTGACGACCCAAGACGATACATCGATTTTCCAGGATGTCAATACCACGACACCCATCGATGTTGCTAACCAAATCAAGACCAATCAGACCTACGGTATGTCGCTAGGCGACTATTCCCAAGGACGTCTTGAATATGAACCAACATTTAATATCACCGAAGTCACCAATCCTCCTACTCAAGCCGGTATACCATCGGATGCTAATACTAACAGCTGGATTTGGGGCGATCAGGCTGCTACTCGAAAACAGCACTTGCTTTTCATCTCGATTCCACCAAGCAACACCAACGGCACACCCAACCCTCGATTGACAGGCTTCAGTTTCTTAGATACGAACGTTATGAATGCCATGGCGTTTGAAAACCTTGACTCGGCCTCGCCCAAGCTGAAGCTGTCCATGATGATGTCTTTGGTCACGGTGTTTGCAGCATATGCACTTTTTTTGTAAAAAGAAGTCGACGCCATCAACGAAAATATTATATTATAAATATCATTCTCCCGCTTGTTTTCTTCTTTTATCTATATAAGTTCTATTTCCACTGATAAATAGTCATTTTTAGTATGTAGAAAGTAACCCTTACCTCTTCCTTCTCTTGTAACTTTTTTAAAATATATATTTTTACTATGACTTCAGAATACTTTGGACAAATTTCATGGGTGACACAAGGCACACAGTTTTATAGGAAATTGGGCGATTCGGTGGCTTTGCGTTTATGCAACGCCTTTTCCGTCCTTTTTCAACCTTGACAAGACAATTACTTCAACGACGACACATGGCAACCACCAAAGAACCTGCTACTGCTGCCGTTGCAGAATCGAATACTGCTGATGCTCCAGCTGCCACTGATTCTGCCTCCGAGATTGACATTTCTCAGTATACTCCAGTAACTGAAGGCAAAGCAACCATTCTTTTCCCCAAAGGCAATGAAGTATTCTATAACCCCGTACAAGAATTCAACCGCGACATGTCTATTGCTGCCATTCGGACATGGAGCGAAATCTTTTTGGGCGAAAAACGAGCTCGTATTGAAAAGAAAGTCGCCAATGCCAAAGGTATACTTGCGGGAAAACAAAAAGACTATGGCGGAAACAGCCGAATGACTTCTTTCCTCGGCCAGTATTTATTTATGTATATGATTTCATCACTCTGTTTGTTTAGACGAAAAGGCAAAGGAAGAAGCAGAGAAGGTACAGCATACAACAAACAAAAGATATAGCTCTTGTATTTGCTTCAATGACTGATCAAAGGTAAATTCTAGCATCTTCAAAACTATATCGACACGCAATCGTTTACGATTCTCGAAGCTCTGTCAGCAAGTGGTTTGAGATCGATTCGATATGCCAAAGAAATTCCCAACTTGAAGCAAGTAACTGCGAATGATCTGGAAGCAGAAGCTGTCGAATCCATCAAACGCAACGTCAAATATAACAACTTGACAGAAGAACTTGTGCGACCTAATCAGGGCGATGCCATGTAAGAAAAAAAAAATTACAAAAGTATAAGAATTATACATTGAAACGACACAAACGGTATATCAATTATGTAGGCAGGTCATGTATAGCGCTATTGGAAACGCAAAGAAATTCGACGTGGTGGATTTGGATCCCTATGGTTCGGCTGCTCCATTCATTGATGGTGCTGTTCAGGCTGTATCGGAAGGAGGTTTGTGTTTTTCCAGATCAGGTTCCGGGATTAAATCAAAAGACAATGAGAAGCAGAAAGATGACTTACAACGGTATGCTGGTATTAGGACTTTTGTGTGTAACATGCACTGATTTGGCGATTTTGACTGGCTCAATGCATCCGGAAACTTGGTAATTTAAATATATTCGAGCATCTAAGTGAGAGATTGTAATTTTGGTTGACCATATTATTGATTATGTGATAGCTTTGGCAAGTACAACGGTATGCCTTTGAAGGGAATGTTCCCACATGAAATGGCATTGCGTCTTGTGCTCAACACTTTACAAACTTCTGCTGGACGATACCGCCGCCATATTGTTCCGCTCATGTCATGCAGCATTGATTTCTACTTGCGTGTCTTTGTTCGTGTTTACACATCCCCACAAGGCGTAAAAAAGGCCGCAAGGTATATAGATAAAAGATTGCTCATATAATCAAATCCTTTGAAAGCGTGGGATTGGATATCTTAGAGCTGAAACAATATGTATATAGCAAAACCGCCGTTATGTACGAGTGCTCTGGCTGCCATTCTTATGCTGTACAACCACTAGGCAAGATTCAGGTTAAGGATAACGGTCAGGAGCGACACGTACCTGGTAGCGGACCACCTGTTGATGAGAAGTGCAGAAACTGTGGCAACACCCATCATGTAAAGTATTTTTAGTCGCTTTTTGTGGGACTTTTCCGCTAATGATTACAACAAACGTTTCCACACTGAACATGTACATAGGTTGGTGGACCTGCATGGGGCGCACCATTGCATGACAAAGAGTTTGTAAACAAAATGTTGGAACATGTCAAGGCAAATGAATCCAACTATGGTACCAACACACGTATGAAGGGCATGTTGACTGTCATTAGCGAAGAATTAGATGCTCCACTGTACTGGACTCTGCAAAGGCTCTGTGGCACTCTACATTGCACTAGTATTCCTTTGATGGATCTCAAGTAAGCTTGTTCCTCTCTTCTATCTGCTGGATTTCTTCTTTGCTAACTGAAAAAACAAAATTACGCAGCTCGGCTATCCTCAACGCAGGTTACAAGGTATCTGGTTCTCATTGTGGACCAGCAACCATTAAAACCGATGCACCTTCACATGTCATGTGGGATATCTTGCGCGCCTTCGTCAAGAAGCATCCTGTCACTATGGCCAACATTGCAGAAAATTCCCCAGCCCGCGCCATTCTAGCCAAAGAATCAAGGTAAACAATAGTAGCACTGTTCTGCGAGGGAAGGATCTAATATATTCGTACTGTTGTTTGATGTCCTGAATAGTATCGAAGTCAAATTTAAACGTCATCCTCAAGCCGTTCCTCAATCCCAATCCATCAAACTTGTACGGTATCAAATTAATCCTACGGCCAATTGGGGTCCCAAAGCACGCGCTGGGAAAAAGAGAAAGCAAGCGGACGAGTAATACAATTATATGAATAATATATTTACAGTTGCATATACGCGCAACCAAACACACCATCCACATCATTCTTTATATTTTCCTCAATTTGTAATAAACATACTAGCATTCTTTATCTTATAACTGTCTTGGTATTGGTCTCGGTAGGATGCCTATCAAGCCCTCCTTCAAGAAACTCGGATGAACAGTAGATCAATACATCATAGAAGGCGTCATGTAGTCAATCCATAGGGAAATAGACACCGGAGACACCAAGCAATTAGGATGTGATCTGTTGGATGTTGGTTTATAGATACTGTTTTACTTACACACCATATACCCCAACTACAACCATAAGACTGACATCTACTACTATTGAAGATATTTGTCACAGGTCAGGATGCGCCACAGCATGATCACACACCCATTATGTGGCCATTTTTACAATTGGGAGAACACCGTATATCGTCATATGATTAGCACAATTTGCACGGAACGTCGACGACGTAACCTTGCGCGCAGATGCGTTTGTGATGCTGTGTTTGAGTCAACTCAAGAGTACATACGTCATCACCGAGCTCAAGATTGGGCGACAGAATGTATGATACTTGCGGCGAGCAAGGTGTTGGGCGCTCGTGTAAATCCTTACTTAACTACCAAGGCAGTACGCGCTGCTTGGGACGCCTTGACGCTGTGTTTTATTCTGCTCTTGCCTTGCGGTCGCTCGATATGCGTGGCCACTTATGTGTTTGTTATGAAATCTTTTGACTCACCTGAAGAACTAATCCAACATCAAGCTCAAGAAGTGAATGGCCGGTTGGATTGCAGGATGTGTGGTCAAATAGGTGTCGGCTCATCTTGTGGGCAGGTTTTTTGCCATCAGAGCTCTTTAGAATGCCTGCAACACTTTCTCGATCCGCTGCTCTCGTTCATAAGGAGAGATCATACCATCCTTTCTTACGCTGTGTGCCTGTTTTTCTTTTCCATAAATCTCTTACTAGCCAATTGTGTCTTTCGCTCTTAGATTGGCTGTATTTGCCGTTGTCAACGACTACCGACTCCTCCTTGCTCTCGCCTCACTTGATATGTTCTTTGACACAATATGTACATGTATATATGGTTCATTGATTGTTTGACACGCGTCTTTTTGTACTCTTCCTTTTTTTCGAAAGCATCGCGTTTACAAAAAGAAAATCATTAAAAATAGATCAAAATGTCTTGAAACATATATGTACACCACAGAGGTGCAAAGTCAACAACAACAACAACAAGTACTTCTGATATTTGCTTTGTAGGAGGCGTCCCTGTACTTTGGGAAGACCCGGTTCATTGCTATGTTAACGGGTATAGCATGGTCTGACAGCTTGTTACACCACTCTGTTGAGCTAGATAATGACGTACGCAGGACTGCAAAGCATACAGAAGCGCTTTCAACATTACATGATAAATAGCTAGAGTGATTAACAAAGATGCAGGCGAGATCGTAAATCTTGCATGAATTGATCTGACACATCAAGCTTGGAGCCAAAATTTGACTACAATACGCGGGATATTAAAACCAATATGGCGCGTTACTTGATTGACGGTAAGACGAATGATGGGCTCGAGTATAGTAAAATTAAAAAAAACTCGACAAAACTAGAAAAAACATATACGATATTACAGAAAAAGCACAAGTCTCTTGATGCACGACTACTTTCAACCGTCTATATCTTAGAGAAAAGGGTTGAAGCGAGTAAGCAGTAATGACATATAACGAAAACGCGCCGCAAGGGACGACCCCCTCCCTTGTAGCCCAAACCTCTAAGTAGCGACAACGTTTGAGATTATATCTTCAATAGTTTTTCAATGAATCAGCGTAAAGTCAGCTGCATTTCGATAATCTAAAGGTTTTCTGTTGTATATGTCGGTAGACACTGCTACCTGGGATACTGTTACCGGATCAACTTGAGTTCTGTCCTCCATACTGTAGAAGGTACCCACGGCAAGCTATGATTAGAGTCGAAACATGCAAGAAGTCAATTATCTAACTGTACTATTGAAGACTGCTGTATCTCACACGCTTGCCGTTTCTTTTACATTCTTTCACTCTCTACTTTTTTCCATCCTTCACGGCTCTACTTCTCCTCTATCAAGGCTGCTGCCTTGAGGAACGAGAAGAAGGATCTCCCGCATCCATGCCGTCTTTATCAAGGTTAACTTAAAGTCGAACACTATGGCACTCGTATTCGGCTGCTGCGGCACAAGGCGTGTCATTCTCAAGCTGTTATCTTCGTCTTCTCAGGTGTCAAGGCTATCCATCCATATTGCTGCCGGCTGGTGTGAAGAGACGGCGTTTGTTCAATGCGTGTACAGCAACTTCCAATGATCGACACGATGGGCTGATCTTCTTTATATTCTGTGCGCACTTTTTCCCTACTTTTTAAGTCCATAACTAGTCGTTTCAAATCGCAGCTCTTCCCTCTCCTTCTCTCTCTTTCTCAAGCAAGGAAGGACGTGTAAGTGGCTAATAACGACTGTGTGTTTGTTGTTTGTGTGGGATGAACGAATTGAAAGAAAGAAAAATGTAGACATTAAATGTCCCAAAAAACTATGTGCAAGTGGTTTGCTCATGATGCTTCTTGCTCCCTTTCTTCTTTCTCAGTATGCTCCTGCGCGGGCGTACTTTGGCGCTGCTGCCGATACTGTGGGCCCAAGTGCTCGTCATATCATGCAAGCGGTGGAGACTGGGTTACTGCTGCTGCTGGAAGACGAGAAACAAGGCTGACTCTGTAGGACTCTCGTCATCCTGTCATGGACCAGACTCCAGTGGTCAAGATCTTCTATCCATTCATCCTGAAAAGTGCGGTTCAGGTTTCTTTGCGTGTGTCTTTACTTTTGCTCTGACCTAGGAAGTATTGCGTTCATGCATATTCTATAACCCTCCCCTTTGCATTCTTTGTATCGCCTAGCTACCTTTGTTCCGTATCCATCTTCGGATGTTGCATCGCCTCATGCGGGTGGCATACTCTTTCTCTGGGCGTAAGTCCTATCTTTTACCATGTATTCCAGCCTCGGCTCAGAAGTTCGCCGGTGGGACCTGTAAGCTCGAGGAGTGCTTTGCGTAACAAAGTGAGCATGGAAGCACTGATTATGAGATGCATAAGCACATATAACATGTGTCTGAGCACCAAGTGCATCTCAACAGGCTCTTATTTTTCCACATGGCTTTATCTTCTCTTGCACCGCTTATACCTATGACATGACCCTTTGAACAGACGCAGCACACCATGGGGACTGCTGAGCTGCTCTGCCTTCTTAACCCACTCACCTTGTCTCCTTGCATTTCCGCTGTTATTTCAGCTACTAGCATATATCTCTCTCATTCAATACGCAAGAGCAAAAACAAATACTGACCGACGTTCACTTACAAAAAACGATTATAACGCTTGATGAGTCAGTCCGTGCTGAAGAGTTGGGATATTTAAACCAATTTTCAAGACACATATAGTCAACTGTCAACTTTTCTCTTTTACTGACTACATTTTTGCAGCTACGTTTGCTCGTGCTTGATAAAGTACATACAGACTAGAACCTTCTTCCTTATCAGCTACGCAAATTAATAATTCTGATACAAAGCTGTTAGAGACTGAAGAAAGAGCTTCCACAATGTGCTTAAAAAATCGGATCATTAGAGCAAATGCCAACAGCCGTAGAAAAAGTCCGCCACGCTCGTGGATATTTGCGTGCTACGGGACAAGCGAAAATAGGGTTTTTTTTGTTGCTGTTACAATGTCCACGTCCGAACCCAGTACTGCTGCACCAGCAGCGACTACGACACAGCAACAAGCAACGTCGACGCCGGCATCGTCGACGAGTACGACGACTGACAAACAAAAGGAAAAGGCAGCACTTGCCAAAGCGAAGAAAAAGAAGAAAGAAAAGGCCAAAAAGAAGGCCAAACGAGCCAAAAAGAACACGCTCAAAACAAAAATCGTTGTACGTCGATTACCACCCAATTTGCCTGAAGAGGCATTAATGAATGCTGCTAAACGATGGATTGGTGACGACGTTGTTGATTATAAATTCTATGTGCCTGGCAAGCTTAGTCAAAGGTATTGATTTTGTAAATGAGGTGGAAATAAGTAGTCGACCCAAACACAAGGCTAGTTGGCTATACTTGCTTATGCTTACATACCAAAAAAAAACACTCTCTCTCTGCTTATAGCAAGGGAAAAGAAAATGTGTTTTCGCGTGCTTACTTTCATATGAAGTCAATGGAGGCGGTTATTGCATTTCATCAAGGCTTTGATGGTCACATTTTTCTCGACAGCAAAGGTAACAACGTCTTATCGCATGTGTTTGGGTTGTTTCACATTCCATGCTAATGTGTCTATCTGTTCTCGCAAAGGCACCGAGAGCCGTGCTGTGGTAGAATTCGCGCCGTTCCAAAAAGTGCCGAAAGAGCATAAGAACCCTGACACTCGTCAAGGAACGATTGACGAAGGTAAATAGCAATAGGATCTTCTTTTTTCCGGATGGATAACTGATTAGCTGTATGTATGTGCTACAGACCCTGACTACTTGAAGTTCGTCGAATCGCTCAAGGCTGAGGAAAACAAGGCAGCCGAGCCAAAAGAAGTGGGTGAGACTGGATCTCAGTTGGAGCGTTTAGAGAACAGACTTGCACTTGTCACAGGTATGATTTGGGACAACTATTATTACTGTTACTACTGTTGTTTGGACGGAGGAAAGCAAGTGGTCAGTCATTCGAGAGAGAAACGCTCCTTTACATTGATGGACCAATGAATTGAATAGCACAAACACTGGCTGCCGAACAAGCCAACAAGCCAAAGACTACGCCGTTGCTGGACCATCTTCGGGCTCAAAAAGCCGCTCAAGCAGCTGCCAAAGCCAAAGCGCAAGCTGCCAAGGCGGCCAAGAAGAAAGCTGCTGCCAAAGAAGCAAAGGAGATTAAGGCTAGAGAAAAAGCAGCAGCATCAGCATCAGTGGCAGGAACAGCTGAGGAAGGAGCGGCAGGCAGTGAAAGAGAGGGAAAGGCGAAAAAGCCATCGCGTCGCAACAAGAAGAAAAAAGATCAAGACAAAAAGGCAGCAGCAGCAGCAGCAGCAGGTGGAGCAGTAGAAGCAAACGGCAGCGACACCACCAAAGCATCTAGCAAAGAATCCACCAGCAACAGCAAACCCAACAAGCCTCCGAAAGAAAAAGGCGACAAGCCAAAGAAGCCAAGGCCGAGTAGAAACAGGGAAGGGAAGGAATCCAAGAACAACAAGCAAGGCAAGCAGCAGCAGCAGCAGCAGCCAGTAGTGCAAATCTTGGGAAGAGGCAACAAGGAGGATAGCAGCAGCAAGCCAAAGAGTTCTGCAAACCAGCGGGCCGGATAACATGAAAAGAAGAAGAAGCGAAGGCATTTGCTACGTTTATTGGCGGCGAAAGGGCTCAGATCAATCGGGACTCCTCACCTCTCTCCCTCGCTGCTGTCTGTCACGTCGTCGTTATCACCACCACTATCGTCATCATCGAGCCTTTGAGGATGTACGCTTCCCCTTTGTGTTGTGTGGCATGTCTGTCTGTCTGCCTAGTAAGATCCGCTTTTCTCTCTCTCGCTCGTTCAAGTACACACACGCACAGGCGACATTATCCTTCTTTTTCTTTCCTTTGCTGCTCGCCAAATACGTAAGAGCTACCGAGCGATACGCTTTTGGCTGCCTTTATCAATAAAAAACAAAAGCTGGTGTCCTTCGGCTCTGCATTAATGCTTTCTTGGATATTTAAACTCAAATTTGCTCTGCTTTGAAAAAAAAAAAATTGTTTCAAACTCTTATAGATCGATCCAAAAAAAAAAGCCATGGCCTCAGGTAAATTACAATTACTTGAGACCAGCGATTGTTGAAAGAAATAATAAACATACCGGAACATGTCACGTAGAAAAAGCACAAAAGAAAGCGGCTTCCGAGATTGACGACATTTTCGCCAAAAGAAACGTACCTGTTGAGAAAAAGCCTGCTACGGACAAGAGCAGTGACTCTGGTACAACGACGACGACAAAAAAGAAGGACAATAAGAAGAAAAAGGGCGTTAAGTTCGATGAAAATGCCAAAAAAGAATCCAAAGAAGACATAGAAGAAGAACAACCAGCAGCACATGTAGTGGAAGAAGTCGTGTTTGCTGAATTGACAGCAGCGAAAAAGGGCCAAAAGCGGAAGTCTCAAGCGCCAGCACCATCGGATGATGATGGATTCGGTGATTCTCGAGGCAAAAAGTCCAGTAAGTACTATTATCTCAAGACAATGCATGTAGCGTGTGATTAACCGCACTGTACGTTGCGTTTAGAGCGAACAACAGAAGAAGGCTTCCCACTTTATGATGTCAAGGACTTACGGATAGGTGAAGGCAAGGATACGCCATTGTGTCCTTTTGACTGCCAATGCTGCTTTTAGATTAAATTATTTTATTCTCGTGCGTCTTTTTTGGGGTCTTTTTATCCTGAGTGCGTTAGGAGAAAGGCGAGGAAAAGGATTCTGTGTACGAGTGTGTTATGTATGTGTGTATATACGTGTAAGTTGGAGAGAGAAGAGAGAGAGAGAGAGAGAGAAGCCAAAATATACAACATGATGATATATGCGAGTAACATGTATGAAAGGAGAAAGGAGACTAAATCACCAGGACTCCCAACGCGTGTAAGAGTATGACGACTCCATCTTTCGTCGAACAAAGGCCGGTACAACATGAGAGAGCCACATTTGTCGGATCTGTTCGAAGCGCTGTGAGTTGAGATATTGTGGTGTACCTCGTCTATGATAAGCAGCGTTAATGCACACATTCCATTCGATAAGATTCACAACTTAGGAGAAATACCTCAAGAACAGATCCACTTCACCGTGAGTGTCCAGGTAAGGCGCGTTCATGATACTTCCACCGTCAGCATGGAGCAACAGCACTAGCGACTCCTTGATCACCAAAAAAATGCCTACGTCGCCACTGCAGGTGCGCATATGAGTGTTGCATTCGCCACGGTGGTTTTCGGTACAACAGTATCGACGTGCACAGACAAACGTGCCACAAATTAGACACAATGCAGGGTTTTCTGGCAGATTGCCGCACTTGCGGCATACGCGTCTTGAGCTTTCTTCAAACAATTGGTCCATCCGGTAAGGCAGCGACACCAGATAGTATGGCGTAGGCAATCGAAGCGCAAGCTTGGGTTGTCTGACAAGTGTTCCTGTCATTGCTGTCGTGGTAGGACTACCACTCGTGGCAGTGCTTGCTCCACTACCGGTACCAGCAATAGTAGGTGCGACGATAGTAGTGGTAGGACTAGTAGCACTACCCTCGGGAACCAATTCTTGTTGTTCATTGTAATAGTGTTTACACCAGCCCATCAACATGCCTTGTTCAAAAGGCCCCAACTTGAACATTTGGGCTAGCGCTGGCAGTCGAAGAATACGAGTCAGATATTCATATTCGTCGTCCATGGCATCATCGTCCAGATCTTCCTCTTCCCAGTTGATGGGTTGTAAAATAAATCCGTGGTGCACGATCATCAATAGCAATGATTTCCGCAGATACGGTAACGTGAACGTTCGGATCAACGAAGCAAATACAGGGGCAGGCACTGCTGCGAAAAAGTCTTGGAGGGTGGTTTCTGAAATGCCCACAAGGCCGGCAATATCACATGCGAACCGTTTGGCTGCCTCTGCTTCTTCCGAGGATCGAGATTGCGACGCGTGTGAGGATAAGCGTTGATACGATTGCGACACCTTGCTATCTGCGAGCGTTTCAGTCTTGAAGCCTTGTAATAACCCAATCACGGTCTTTGCCACTTCGGCTACATAGAGTAGACGCATAAAGTGATGGATGTCGGCTTCACTATGGCGTGATTTGATGATAAACCCAAGGGTCGTTAAAGTTTCGAACGCATCAGCTACGAGCAATGGCTTGCGCATGATCTCGCTGCTTGCCAAATCATCAGCTTCCAAGGTCTCTTCGTAAAAGATTTGGCGCAGCACACCCAAGCTGATACGCTGCAGCGTGTATCGATCGTCCGTCACCCACCGCGTGTTCATGACACTGGGCATGAGCTCGCCTGTCTTGGCCAGGATTTTCAGCAACGTCTGGTTTTGGAAAGAAATATCGTCCAAGAACGTTCCTGTATGTTCAACGCTCAAATCCCGTGCTCGCACGCCATGGTCACCACGCTGTGCTATTTCAATCGATGAAATCGCATAGGCGTACATGTTGTACAGCTCGAGCAATGATGCACGCAGTTCTCCTGGTGATATGCTGCCATCCTGGATGATCAGGCTGCTGTTGCCTCCTTTCATGGCTGTGCGCAGTTGGTTATAAAGTCGTCGCAGTGCGTCCACGTCTTCAATCTCGACACCCGGTTCCGCACGTGGGTCAGCATCTTCGTCCATGCTACCAGGAATGCGGTCGGCAGGTCCAATCTCGCCTTCTAGCTGCGTCATGATATTTTTGGCGAAACCGCCCAGATCTTCGTAAGGTGTCTTGGTGACCATGGGTCCTGGATACGATTCCTTCTTGCCCTTCCATACGATTGGCAGCAAGACGTTGCCAAGTGCTTTGCAAAGCGGGCAAAGGAACTGCTTGTGTCTGAGCTGGGGCATCAATGCGCGCAACGGGTTGCTCGTTTCGCTTTCGACGGACTCTTGGTATCCGTTAAAACAGTGAGCGTGCATCAAATGGCCACAGGTTGAGATATGCAAGCCTTCAACGTGAGCGTCTGTGGGGAATCCATGCATTGACGGGCGCTTATTGGTATCCTGAGTGGCCGCTTCCATATGTTCTTTCCACGTATCACGGCCTTGTGCTGTTTCGAGCAGGTCAAACACGATATCGGTATTTTGGAGCGGTGTCTGACGCACAGTTTTTGATTTCTGGACCAGGCCAAGCACGCCATACAACCGCGACCGATCGAGCTCTTCTTGGCAGACGATGCAGGTTCCTGCAGGGAAATGACAGGTGCGTTCAACATCACCGTCGGTGATGGCTGCTTCTTGATCCATATCAGCACCGCCTTCGCTCATGATATCTTCTTCCTCGTCGTCATACATGTCTGCATGTTGAGACATGAATTGGGATTGTGCTTGAGCAAACTGGGCCATAATATTCGCCTGGCGAGCCTTGGCCTCTGCCTTTTTCTTTTCATATTCTGCAGCAGCGTCATCCTTTTCTTCTGCCTCGGTGGCTTCTTGAGCTGTCCGGTGCATGGTTCGCCACTCGGCAATCATTTCCTTGGCATCGCTCGAGCCGCGCTCTTCTATCTTGTCGATAATATACTTGCACCTCTGATGGACGTACTTGTACTCCTTATCACCCATAAATCGCAGTAAGATTGTGAGGAGCGACACATGTTCTCGCTCAATACCCACAGTAATGGCAAACATGTCCTCAGTCGCATGATGAATAAAGCTATCGGTAGCTGCCAAAGGCGAGTTGGAACGGAACTTGCCCTTGGCCAGCGCTTGTTGCCTTTCAAACGCTTCGTTGTTCTCGTCCGTCACAGCGACCATGGCCAAATACAGCGCATCGTCCAGGATCAATTCACTCGAAGCCTTGGCTGTGCGCGAGTTCCACAGTGCATACAGGACAACTTGGACAAACATCTGGCACTGCAAAAAGTTACCCAAGTACTTGAACGGACCATAGTGGATCTTGCGCAGTTTGGGTAGTACAAAGAACTCTTCCTTGTCGACTTCGCTCTTTTTCTTGTCACGAGCAATCTTGTTACGACGTATTCGGAGCTTTTCAAAGGCTTCCTCGCGCTGATTGCGTGAAAAGTGCCAAAAGTATGGGTCGATTTCAGCATAGTATTCGTCCTTCAGTTCGTAGCGGCCGTGGTCGTTTAGACCAGCTGGTGCTTTGTACGTGGACAGCTCGCCGAGGTGTTTGTCAAACATTTCGTGGTCGCTCAGGCTGTCGGGCAAGACCTTGACTAGTTCAGAATAAGCCATGCTGGATAGACCCAAGTATTGAATGATGGCGCGGCGGATCTTGTCTTCGATCGGCATATCCGAAGCGTATCCGCGCTCAGTGGCACAAATCACCAGGAAATCAATAAGCTCTTCTACGACCGTGGTCATTTGCGATGTATCGTAGTAGCTATGCGACTTGTCGGGCTTGCCGTTGAACCATTCAGTAACATCGAATCGGTCAATCATGGTTGCAAGCATATGGTCAGGATGGGTCGCCACGAGACCGACTTGGAGCAGATATAGGTCCCAATCATACGTGTATTCTCGTACACTGACATCGCGATATGTGCGTGCCTGGATAGCATTGTATCAATGATTCGTGTTTAGTTTCCCAATAGTTCAATCGTTCATTCCGTTTACGTTATTATTACCTGGTTACGAATACCGAAACCGTTTCGGACCCATACACCACAATTGGCCTGGGCCAAAAGAGCACGCATGCGAAGTGGATATTCGAGAATTGCCAAAAAGGTATCATGCGATGGATCTTGTTCATTAAACTTGTCAATCACGCTCTTGAATCCATTCTGCCAGCCCAATTCATGCATTGTTTCGTCCTTGAGCAAGCGAACATGCGACAACAGTTCCGCCAAAAGCCAATGATAAGGATGATGGAAAGAGACCGGTTCTTTGGCGATATCGTACTTGACAATAGGGAAGGTACCAGCTGAATGTGTCTTGAAGTTTTTGTACTCTTGTCTCTTAACACCCTTGATTAAGCAGCCACGACCTTCTCGCTCGTTAATTGCCACTGATCCTGCATCTCTATCTGCCAGTCGAGGGGACCAATCAGCCATGGCTTTCATGATACGTTGAATCGATCGGACAAGTGATCGTGTCGCATCAACACTATTGTTGGATGGTGCATCAGTATAAAGCGAGGCAAAGCAGTCGGCAAATAAGCGACAAAGTTTGGATATTTGGAGCGTGACATTGAACGCGTTGACCCACGAGGTTGACTCGTATTCTACATGGACATTGCCTTTTCGGACAAGTGGATCCATCGCCTGGAACTGGAATAACATGTCCAGGAAATGGCGCAAGTACAATGGTTGGTGGCAGATTTCGGGCTTGACCAGCTCAGTGTTCAGAACATAGCGTAAGTCATAGAACGTCATTGCAAACCGGGGTCGTTTAATGGCGCGCGACGAACAGTCCACTTGCATGTTGTGATACTCTTCTGGTAGGAGCATATGGATGTGATCTGTCATGAAGAAGTTTGCTAGGATCGAGCAAGCAATCCCAAAGAACTTGTAACTCTTGACCACTAGTGCTGCCACGGTTGGTACAGTAAGCAACTGGACAGAGAGCGTTGTGATCGAATGCTCTGGCTCACGATCCTTCAGGAAAAATGCGTCCAATAGCTCTGGATAGTTGCGTGCAAATCGGATACCTATAGGGTAGTACAAATAAAAATACATGAGTAAATTCCCTCGCTTACACTGCTTATACATCGTAATGCTAACTAATCGACACCACTTACCAATATTAGGACGGTAGTCATAGTTGGAAACAACGGTACCAATCAGTAAATCCTTGATACTAGCACGGGCCGTTTTCCACAGACGCAAGTCGTACTGCAAGAGATAATCGAGGCGAAGCTTGCGACTGAACTCGCGTTTGATATGCTGATCCGTTTCTGCCAAGAGCTTGCTTGTAGGAGGTAGAGGCGAGCCCAAAACGGTGGCAATGTCACGTTCTTCAGACTCGAGTTTTTCAGTGTATACCAGCCATTCATTCAAGTCGTATTTGAGATCAATGATATCCTGCGGCCGTCCTGGTGAATGACGTCGATAAGGCGGTGTTTGTGGTGCTGTTGCTGAAGCATGTCCACTATTAATGGTAGTAACAACTGAAGGCGGAGGTGAACGCTGTCCTTGAGTTGGAGGAGACGTAGCGTCAGATCTCGACTCGTGATGTTCTTGTTGGTGTTGATGAATATCTTCGTCATCACTTGCGTTTCGCATCTCCACGTCCTGTTGCAACCCGTGGGAGCCGCGAGGTCCAATATCATCATTCTCGTCGTCTTCGTAATCGTCGTCGTCGCTATCACCAGGATGATACTCTTCGTCGTCGTCGTCATCAACATCATCCGCTTCTAACCATTCGATGTCGTCATCTGGCGGTTCGAATACTTGTGTAAAGACGCCGTCACCTTCATCCACTAGCATGGCGCCTTCCAACAGATCCTGATCCTGATCATCCTCGCCTTCATCTTCTGTACCATCAAACTCGAAATCATAGTCATTGGGATCTGCATCTGACACTGTACCACGCCGCGACCGAGTCGATAAAGCTGCCAATTCCGGACGAAGCGAATATTCCTCACACAGGACCTCGCATATAATATCGCGCAATATACAATTGCCTCCTTGGACATTACCGAAAAACGTGTAGCGACCGCTGATCAAATCCTTGAGCCAATCGAGCAACAATCCAGAAATCTGCTCACGAACGGTATCCTTACAAGACCGAATCGTCACGGCCAATTTGATTCTGTTGATTTCGGTCGCGATGGGTATCAAGTCGTCGAGTCTGGACGATGTTTCAATGATATGGCGGCCATAGGCGTCGACGCTCTCGGCAACTTTGCTCGCCTCCATTTTGGTGCAATTGGTCGCACGCATCACGACGTCAATCACCTCATCGAACGAGTGTTTCTCGTCGTTCCACAAGATGCACGCGTACATGGGCCGGTTGCCGCTGTCGGGCATTCCCAATGCCTTGTCGCTCGCCTCGCAGTCCTGCTGGATTTCTGGTTTGGAGCGGAGTGACAGATTCTCCGGACTCACGGCAAATGTTTCCAGAATGTAATCCATTACTACTTGGATCGTGGACTTTATCTGTTGTAGTAGTTCGGGTGTCACGGACGATATCGGCTCGAAAGTACGCGTTCCCGCTGCGGACTTGGTTGTAGTGGAGTTGTCATCATTGTTCATGGTTGATGATGATGATGATGATGCTGCTGCTGTGTCGCTCGTGGATGGGGCGGCTGACAAGGAATGGATGCTGCATTCTAACGGCACCTTCCATGCTTCTGGGTCACCACAGTCGCAGCAGCCACCGGCGCCTCGGCTGATCCATATTTTCACGTCGTGTCCGTCATGGTTTGTCGCATGGAAACATCGTGCACAAAGTACACACGTGTCATCTAACCCACAGGACCTGCATACATGATTGTCGTGTAAGTATAATAATAGCCTCAAACGGGTCCAATAGCTAAATAACAGAACAGAAGGCTTTCCGCATAATGCGCAGTAGCAGTAAAAGTATGTAACACACCTGCAACGGTAAACACTTTCTCCCTTTTTGAACAAGTGGCCACACTGCTTGCCGCGTTGACTCTCCCAATACTCGGGCTCATCGGTCGAAGGATCTACAAGGACATTGTCCGGGTTGGATGGCACTGCGACCGTATTATCGTCGTCACGCTTAAAAAGATTGTATTTTTCAAGCAACATTGATAAATTATCGTTGACATCGTTCGTGGCGTCAGTGAAAAAGTACTTTTGCATGAGGGCATGGTTGTTGCCCCATAACAATCGGTAACAATTTGTCAAAATTTGTCGCTCGGCACCTCGGTGTAGCCGATACTTGTACATGGCAGGTGCGTCATTTAAGAATTTCCTGAGCTGTTCTGCGCTGACGGGTGATGTCCATGACTTGTCGCTAGTTGTTGCTGCTGCTGCTGCTGCTGCACTTGAGGGAGAAGAGTCTGACATTATGAAGAAGAAGAAGAAGAAGAAGAGGAAGAAGAGACAACACACATATATATATATTCCTGTTTCTTTCCTTGCTTTGTTTAATATCAGAGTAAGAGTGTGTGTGTGTGGTGTGGAATGAAGGAAGAAAGAAGAAAAAAAAAATAGAGATCGCTGGGGCTCTGGTAGATAACTCAAAAGAAAAGAAAAAATATGCTGTTGAATCCAGTTGCAATAGCGCGCGCTAGGAAAAAAAAACTCGAGAAAAAAAAATGCTTGAGCACGTGACGCGACCTAGCGAACTGATGCAATCGTTCCGGGGTGTGATCTTTCGTACCCTTCCAGATACGCTTGACCGACGAAGAGCCACTGCAATAGCTCGAATTTGCGATGTCGACAAAGTATCAGTAGCCAGCGAGTCTGAAGCTGAGGAACATTTTTCTCCCTTTGTATGACAAGCGTATAAGCTCGCTTTAAAGTTTGTGGCCCTTGGCACATCACACTGCCTCCGATCACCGGCACCTTATTAGTAAGAACTTGGACATTTATAAAGTCATATAAAACAAAAGCGTGTTATTCCGCCAGTGGTACAGAAACATGACTTTATTCCACTATTAGAGCTTGGAATATGTCACAGGCTTCTTGGTGACGAACGCTTCGACGGATTTGGGAATATCCTGAAATATATAGGCTCTCGTTCAGCATTTGATGACAAGATACAATGGTCAAACGTCTCTTTCTTTCTTTTACCTCAGTCATGAGCATAGCGCTATTCCAGACGGCAGTGTATTGCAAGCCTTCATCAACGCTATGGTCGCGGGAATAGTTCAACAAGTGCCTATGTTTTTTGTAGCAAAAGAGTGCTGTTTTAGTTATCTGTGATGTAATTTGTATCTAGTGAGAGAGAAAGGAAAGGACTTTTTACTTTGTGCTAACGACAGCGACGGGCGACTTGGTTGCGATCAATTTAGCAGTCTTAAGTGCTCCCTCTGATTATACACGTTTCTTGGATTAGAATAGATGCAGTTTCTCAGGCCCCAAAAAGTTATAACAAACATTCATTCACCCACCAATAAGTTGCTCCTTGGTATCGAACACTTTGCTAATGAAACCACATCGATATGCCTCATCCGCATACATGCTATAATAGAAACAATGATTGGTACTGCAGTCTATTTGACTTACAAGAAAAGGCACTTACTTGCGGCAGGTATAGCACAATTCACGGACCAGACTGGCATTACCAATGACCTTGGGCAAACGTTGCAAAGTGCCGACATCGGCTGCAAGACCCACGTCAACTTCCTAATATGATGTCAGGTAAGTTTCCCCGCACTTTTTTTTGTACGACACTCCCCTGTTATAATACTCGGTCGCTGCTATAAAATTGTTACCTTGACACAAAAGAAAGAGTCCTTGGTAGCATAGCGGATATCACCTGCGGTGGACAAATCGATGCCAGCGCCAAAAACGCCATTATGCATAGCGACAATGACTGGCTTGGAGCATTTTTCAAGGGAGGTCATAGCGCCTTGGAACCACTATACAACCTTACTGTGTCAAACGATGGATGACACCTCTGAAACCGCGTTTTTTCAATCCGTCGCTATCTTCTCTAACCTGAATATGCTCCTGCAAGGCAAAGGCTTGTCTAGCAACATCCATATCACCGTGATCCTTCAACAAGACGTTATCGGTCACTAAAAAAGCGGGTTATGTCAGCGCAAATCCTCCCATTTAGAAATTTACTGTTGTGCAGACAAGAGTGGTCCCAACAGATTACTTACAGTCCAAACCAGCTGTGAACATACGACCTGTACCGGATAATACAACGGCACGAACATCACTGTCGCTGCTAATATCCGCAAAGCACTTTCCGACATCGCTCGCCAGCCTAAAACCTCCACAAGAAGAAACAATGTGTATAAGTTTTTATTCTTTCTCAGGGCCGTACATAAAGAAAAAGAGGGTTGCAGTTTATTACGTTTCGTTGAATGTGTTCAAGTGATTGGGACGATTCAGTTCGACATGGGCAACACCATCAAGGAATACTTGAACCTTGACTGTTTCGTATTGGTACTTTGACATTTTCTCTTTTGAAGTTGAATTGAGGAGTGTGGTGTGGAGGAAGGTTGTAGAGAAAAGGTATATAAAGTGCGAGAAAAATGTGCTGTCAGCTCCGCATGACATAATGTTTTTTTGTCTCGCACGTTCATGTGAAATTACTAACCATGAATTGCTTCCCCGCACTAATCTTCGGTTACTTTGGAAACCACACACACATGCGTATTGGGACCTGTAGTAACAAATCTCATGTCACAGCACTACTAGATGAGAATATAACACTTTGGACATTCGCATAATATGCTTTTGTTTGCTAGTATCACAGTATAAACTTCTCCTCAATTACGATATCTGTCATTGTACACTATTTCAGCTATCGTCTGCTTTTTGGTGGGGACTAGGTTAATCACTGGCAAAGATTATTGTTGTTGTGCTTTTTGGCCGCAATGACCCAGTTGGATGTTTTCGGAAAAGCAATCATAGATTTCCTTTATGCAGTAGCTTCACTGTCTGCATTTGGAAACCATTTGCCTCAAAAACAACATCTTCTAGCGCCTTGGGTGTTGCCGAACATTTTCAGCAGCACTCTCAAAAGGCAGAAACTCAAGGCAACCCTTACTTCCTGACATTCATGTTCCTCTCAATTTGAGTGAGAGAAGGTGTGTCAAAGTATCTTTAAACGTAGTTCATGTTTTATGAACGGTTTTTTTATTGGTTTGCACTACGTATAAATTCAAGGCTGCCTAAGCGTTTCGGGTTCTCGCCTTGTAATATACTTAAAACGAGTTATTAAAAGTACGCGCAACAGATAACACTTATTAATATCGTTTCGTATCGAAAAAAAAATATGTCTTTGTCGTTATACTTCTTTGTACTTTGGAGAAATTGTCGACACGCTGCTTTCGTGGTCATAATAAACTCTTGGACACTCATTGCCGATATCGACTTGAAATCCACCAGGTGATTCATAAAAGCAGTTCGAACTGTTATGTTCTGTAGAATTTAAAAAAAAAATAGTTGTAAAATAACCGAAACGAGAACAAGAACGAAAACTTGATCTAGATGATATGTACTAGGTCTAAAACGACCCTACAACAGTGGCAACTCTTTTTGATGACGCGTGTATATTCACAATGTTTGATAACCTGCTAGAAAGGACTGCGAGCAAAGGCTAGAGCGGGCTCAAAGGTGTAGCGAATTAACTTAGCAAACGAAAAAAAAATCGTAAAAGAAAGCTACTTTAAACGCGCATATTAACTGGATAAGCGCGCTTGATTGTTTAGGAAGCTTCTGTGCGAGCAATATTCTCTGTATTGAGCAGACAATGCACTATAGTGTATTCTTGTTCATTTACAATGTAGCTAAATAGTTTTAATCTGTCACCTCTCTTGTGTGGCTGCTTTATCGGTAAAACTATTGTGTTAAGGCTGATCAAAACGTCTGAATCAAAGTACACGAGATGAGCCACAGAGTCGGTGCTATACATCGTCTCTAGAATGCAAAACGATTAAATAAGTCTACACTAGTAGCATCGCTTCTATTGCTTCTACTACAGACAACGAGGCAGTCAGTAAGCTCCCTGCTACAATATACGAAGCATTAACCCCAGCCTACAATTTATCCAGTGCACCCCGCAAAAGAGCACACCACGGCCCATTTCCTCTTCTCTATGACATTTTCGAGGACGCCGCTTCTGAAAAAAACGGCTGTCAAGGTATTCAAGCTGGCTACTCTCTGGGATTAATTCATATTGTTCGTATTTGTCAGACCATTAAATACGTTGAAGGCTGAACTGGTTCGACAGAAGCTATTTACGAGTCTGATATGCCATTCTAATATGTCAGACTTTGATGCGTTTCTTTCTAGCATCTTCAAGTATCTGTAATTGCGAGATAAAGGCAGTCAGCAACTGTAGTATTACGTAGTATTTGAGTAGCGTAGCAATCGATAAAATGAGACAATGGACGAATCCTTTGAAACACTTCTTCCAGAATTAAAATCTAAACATCCTTCTATCCTATGTAAGCACTACTTTTTCTATACTGTTTCATCCTCATTATGTCTGGTATGACTCTGATATAATAGTAAAACGATGTGATCCAAGATATTACAGGTACGTTGTTGTAATTCCGTTGTCAAGAAATACTTATTTAAGCCTGGACTGGTGTCCGCTTATTTTATTATAATCTTAACTATATCAGACATGATATGTGCTCTCTCCAAGCTTGTCAATGCCGTAAGAGACCGTTATAAGCTTTTATTCTTCCTATTATTCGGGATCGTTGTCTTGCTTCTCTTTTTTTTCGGTGTCAGGCTTAGATTCCATGACTCCTTTACGAGGATCTATTTCTCTTATTTTCTAGTATTTGCGATGAATGTTGAATGTTGGATCACTGAAACTCTGTGATGGCCTGTAGTAAATCAAATACACAAAGATAAACTAAGTCGTTTAATAATGGATTAGAAACAAAAGATTGAACAAAGTGCTGCAATATCAGCTACAGAAACCATCTTCTTTTATATCTAGCTTTCAAACATTGTTTAAGAGCTCGGTCTTAACGGGGAAACAGATGTGAAGGTGGAAAGCTTACCAGCTTTTTTGTCAGCAAGGACCCTATTGGTGCTTTGCTGTAAGAACGAATTAAAGCTTTTATGATGGTGTGAGATGTGTTCTTGCACGGTTGTTTCACACTTGGTTTCTTTACCCAGTAATATGAAGGGTTCATATTTCAGTCCAGCTAGTGCATGTGCGCAACCGTGGCCCTTAATGGATCCCGGTGCGGTAAAGAAGAGAAACTTTCTGTCAAGAAATCTGTCTGTACCAGAACCTCGTTTACCACAGTTCCCATGTTTCTTCTTCATCGTAATTGATCCAACGGACGTGATATAGAAAATTACTTTGTGTTCTCTGTGACCAACAATTCAATTGAACTCATAGTTTTCATCGACTGGTACGTCTTCTACTTTTCTTACTGGCCTCATCTTTCTTGCTGAAAATATCTATCATCAAGTTTTGCTTATAATCTTTTAGTACGTATGAGGCCCCTCTTGTTCTATTCATGTCTTTATACGGTCTTTTATAGGTTGTATTTATCTTTTCCATCTAGATCGGTTCTCTAACCACAGTATAGTCTCCACTTTTATAGTCTAGGGTTTTGCTGTTCTGTTAAAGACTTGTTCTCTTTTCTTTAGTGAATTACTACACGCACTGCAAAAACCAGACCAAGCACGCTGCAAAAATTCCGCTTTTTAGAAGTAACCCATTTCTCGTATCCACTCGACCTGCAGCGCATATAGTTCTTTGCAGCATACATAGTGAAGTAATAAATATCAAACGAACCATAATACAATCTACATCCATTTAGTAATGTAAATGGGTTATACTGGAGTTTTAGCTAGAATTTCACTTTAAGGCCGATCGGATCTGTACTGAGAAAAAATATTTTATTCAAACACTTGAATCGACTAAAGGAAAAAGCTAAAGATCGAAGAAGTGTAAGAAGAAACGGTTATCGCAAGAAAAAAGCGAATTAGGCTTAGGAAAATCGCAAAAAAAAAACCACTCATCCTCATTAAGCAAAGTATATGAAAGACATGTATGTGATAGATATTTTAGAGAAAAGGATTGCAGAGAACTAATCATTGCTGTCACTACTAGTATCATTTTCGCACGTAGGGAAAAGTATTATTTCCAGAAACTCTACTTCAACTAGTCCTTTAAATGCTCTAACATGGATACAGTAATAAGATCTTGCCGGATTAGATGTGCAGCCGCTTCAGGTATAAAGACTTGTTGAGTGAAATGGATTAGTTGCTGCATTGTTGGATGCATCCAATGCATAATAGTTCGGCCAAGACATACAAGTACACCTTCTCATCAGAATCAATAAATACCATCTTTCAGTTCTCCTTTAATCCCTTTACCTATATTGGCCACAGTATTATCCGCCAAAACGGATATGGCAAATACTTTTAAAAAGAAAAAAATTCAACTAACTGAAAGAATCAGTTAGTTGGAAGATGTTCCCCCACCGGGAATTGAACCCGGGCCACCGGTGTGAGAGACCGGGATCCTAGCCACTAGACCATAGAGGAGAAGAGATATTTGTTGAGCATTGCACGCGGTGATAACCTCCTTTTTTTATACTTTTCTTCATTCTTCACTCTGCACCCCCAAAAACTCGTCCTTTTTTCCGATCACCCCCAAAAATTACGACCTCGAACTCGCCTCGCGTAACACCCGAGGCAACCGCCAATATTCCCACCTCACCACATACAACAGCCATACCTACATCACCTACAGCATCAGAATTGGCTATATGCCTCACATCGGCTTTGCCTATTAGAGCAAAACAGTGTGCTTCACAGCAGGCAACCCATATCCCCTCCCCTTTATCAAGAAGACCCTTCCCCCATAGAAGGAAATTCACAGCAAAAACGGCAAAAACGCCGCACTACCCCTTCACCTACTACAACAGAAATTACCACCCCCAACACCATCAATTCCGCAGATATGTTTATCAATGGCCAAGAGGTATCACTATACCCCCAGTCCAAACACACCTGCAGCAACACCCCCCTCACTGAATGCAGCACTGCTGCCCTTCAGCAACAACAGCAACAGCAAACCAATAACAACAACAACAACCAGCAAGAGCAACAGCAACAGCAACAGCAAGAGCTCTTGTATAGCTCTCTGCATACATCACTCCCAGATACATAGGAGCAGGAGGATGCAGCATCGGTAACAACAACAACAACAACAGCAATCCCTGGTTCCTCGCGTTCCAGCAGAAAATTGCAGCCCACAATGAGCAATTAGAGCAAATGGCCGCTCTAATTAAAGAAAACAAGCAACTCCGGTCGGAATTAGCACTCACTTATCAGGGTATTGCCGAGCTCGAGGGAGAACATCCCCCTGTGCCACCAGCAGCAACAATGACTGTTATGGATAGCACCCCTGAGTACGAAGATGAATGTCTTACAGGCACTATTGAGTCTGTACACGTAGGTACACCAGAATCTCGAGCTGTGTACCAGCAGCAAAAGCGTGCCTGTGAAGCACACTAAGAGCAAGATCGGGAGAAGCGTCTCGCACACCAGCTCAAGCTGATGGATCGCATGGACCAGCAGCAACAGCAAAAGCAACAAAAACAACAAAAGCAACAACAACCTGCACCTAACAACAATAGCAGCAAAAAGATGTATGCAGCAGCAGCCAGCAAAAACGTTAGCAGCAACAACAACAAGCAAAAGACCCGTCGTTGTGTTGTGAAAACACCAACAGCACCAATAGTGGCATGGGCCAGACAAACGTATACCCTTGTGTGGCAGTAGGATCTATTGGGGCCAATCCACGACTGATACATCTTTGATGGCATTGCTACTTCTTGTATCGCTGTAGCTACAACAAGTAGTTCCAGCTACATGGTATTCTTACGATATATGCGATTATGTTAGTTCTGCCTGCATAAATTCCAATTATGAAATTCTGGTACATAATGATCGAACGCGTCAATACCGGTCATACTGGTCCAAGCATTGTTCCTTATCTTGTGAAGACGTAGTATCACCAATAATTTTCAAGAGCAAGTTTCTAAAGAGAAAAGGTTGGATCAGGTAGTCTAAAATAATGCAGATTCGTGACACCTTTGAAAGATAGTAAAAGACATTCGAACATGGAAACATTTATGTCGTTTTGAAAAATGCCGCAGAAGGTTTATTGCATAGAAAGATATATATCTACGGTTACGTAGACCAGCACAAGAGTATCAAACAAACTAAGAAATAAACGAATTTACATGAGAGAACTTGGCTGGTGTGATATAGCCGTTTACCTACATCGTCTACACAGAGCAGAACTTTATATGTGCGAGGCCGACAATTTCATTATCAGAATAACAAAGCACCTTTATATCATTACAACTATGTCAAATGGCAAGCTGCTGTGTAAGATGCAGCACCACCATCATCACACCAGAGAAAGGTCGATCACTGTGATGAGGACCCAATCCGCGGTATGTTTATCTGTGCAGGCGTCGCTCAAGCTCTTCATGTACCTTTATACTTCATTCTAGTTGTCTCATAATCATGGTATAGATATCTTTGTAACGCCATCGTTTCCGCAATGTAGCCAAGACAGTGTATTCAAAGCTCGCGAAGTAAACACTACAATTTTAGCACCATGCATACGAATGCTGCTAATCTTTGGGTTCGCAAAAGGATAAAAAAAAGCTTGTTACAAAATGCCATGTATAATATATACTGAACAGAAAATTAAATAAAAGAATGAGCAGTGCAGGATATAAAAAAGGAGAAAACGGGAAAAAACATGGAGAAAAATGCAATTAAATACAAAGTGAGAGTGTTGTTGCGTTATGTGGTGGTATATGAGTTGAAGAAAAAGAAAAAGTGAAGGTGCTACTACTATGAAATTAATGAGAAGAAGAGGAGGAGGTAGAAGAAAGTAATTTTTTCTCGACCATTTGCATAAGCAAATTCGAATATTTATCCAAAAGGGCTAGGGTGGCAGGGTCTTGTTGCTGTTGCTCTTGTGGTTGCTGCTGCTGCTGCTCAGCTAGACCATCGTCCACGGATGATGATGATTCATTAATACCATTATCGCTGTTGTTACTGCTACTGCTGTGTGTTAGAGAGGGCGATGATCGTACTTGCGATATCTTGTCGATGACGCTGCCAAGTTTCGCCTCGACTGTCGTGACGAATGTTTGACTGCCATCAATGCTTTTGGCAGATGCATACGCGTCCATGACGCTGTCTAACAAAATGATGGCTCCGTCGAGATCGGACAGTATATGATCAAACGAGCTTGAATCGCATGTATCCGTGCTACCCACTTTTTCCATGGAAACAGAACTGTCATTTCCTATTTCTTCTGTTGAAGATGGTGATGGTTGTGTAGTGATCGTATCGTCAACAAGCTGTGATACATCGTCTGCTTGCTGCAGCTGTTGCAAAATAGCGGATTGTTGCCCACTATCCTTGCCTTTGTCGTGGTCTATATTGGCGGTCTCGGGTTCTGGTACATCTTTTAGCTGGTGTTGTTGAGTGGTTTCTTCATCGACTGTAGCAGCGGGCAAAGATGAAACGATGGTTTTGTTATTGTTATTATTGAGAGCAGCTGAGCTTGTGTCGATGCGTGGCGGCTCAAGGGGAATGGTGGTCTCGGCGGTTGGCATCGTTTCATTAAAGTTCTTGGTCACGTCCCCAAGCGGCTCGCAGTTGAAAGAAGGAATAGGCGGATGATGATAATGTGTGCTTCTACGGTCACCTAGTGATGACAGAAATCGTGCGGTGAAACTTTGTCGTTTTTTGGCTTTTTCAAGCTTCTTTTGTAATTCACGCAAAGCAGGTGTATCACGGCCGCTTGGTGAAATACCGCCAGATGATTCTTTGCTGGAAGGCGAGAACGGTGAATGCGCTGATCGTCCATCTGCAGTGTCAATATCGTTGTTGCCGTTGCCGTTGTTGTCGTTAATGCTTCTGGTCGGCTCTTCATCGAGCTGTTTGCGAGACGACATGGATGTCGTTCGACTCAACGATGGTGTCATGCGTGGCGCTTCTCTTAACGTAATGGCCTGGAGGATAGCGTCGTCTGCATTGTCTTCACTCGATCCATCTTCGTCATCGTCTGCTGTCGTATTACCTTCTCCACCGCTATGATGTTTCTCTGGTGTACGAATCTTCTCGTCATCTGATGGTTTTCGGCCGTCGTCGACATGTTCATTAGAGCTAGTCGTACCAGAATCGTCATGAACTTCATCATGTGAAGTAACTTCAAATGGAGTACCGATCTCGTCCTGTTCTGGTGGCGGCGTGATGAAAATCACTTCTTCCTCTTCTTCGTCGTCATCATCGTCTTCTTCTTCATCATCGTTTGCTTCACGTTCATCGCCTGCTTCTTCGCCATCATCATCTTCGTCTTGGTGATGGTGACGCTCTGGTAACTGTCTCGGTAATGTTACGTCGACATCATGACGTATAATTCCGTCAGGTGTGGTACTGGCAGTCGATAAACCAGCAGGAGCATCGCCTTTGCTGTGTTGCTGTTGGTGCTGATGATTTGCATTGATAATTTTGTCGTTTGGAGGAGGTGATGGAGCTTCTATGCTCGAACGTCGTTGCTCATTCAAATTCGCCGATCGCTTACGACGAACTACCCCTTCGTTTGTCCTCGGCCGCGTTGTTCGATCTTTGTTGCTCGTCGGTGATCCTTGCTTGTTCATGGCTTCACGAGACATTTGCCTTCGAAGCACTGGATTCATGCGTCCACCTACTTGACGCAATGGATTGAAGCCAGCTGCTGCACGTGGTGATGAATCGCCTCCACTCATACCTGGGGCACCATAGCGATTTGCAGCAGCAAAATTAGGTCCTACATGGCTTGATGTTCGTTCGCGAATACCAGAAGTAGGTATCCCGTTATACAGACGTTCCAATTTTCCTTCTGGTGTTTTGCGACCGCTGCCACTGCTACCCGTCGAATCCCGTTTTCGCTCTATCTTTTTCTCTCCAGCAGTTTTCGAAACTGGTGATGTTGGACCGCTGTTATTTTCAGGTGAGGATGGGTGCTCGATCTGTTGCGGCCGTGAACGTCGCGACATGGCGATTTTTTTATACAAATCGTCATATTTTGATTCCGCAGGCGACATGGTCGAAAACGTCCGGCGCTCGCCTTGTCGTACCATTTGTGATAGACTCGGCGTTGGTCTAGCTGCTGTAGCTGTTGATATGCGTCGAAAGCGAGTCTTTGGGTTGTTTGCGCCCGCTGCAGCGGTAGCAGCAGCAGCAGCTGCTGCTGACAAACCCTTTTGTTGCAATCGTTTATCTTCAGCAACTTCCTCTGTCGTCCGGATGTTCATGACCAGTTCCTGTGCACGCGGATCCTTTTCCGCGCAGCGTGCCTTCATTTTGCATATAATATCTTCCGAAATCTTCCATACAAATATCGTGCCGTCCGAACATGTGCTGACTACGCGAATCGTATCATGACCTGTTCGGACAAACTTGACAGCCGTAATCAGTTCGGCATGAGCGCTGACCTTTTCAATGCATGTGCTGTTGGTCAAATCAAAGAGGCGCAAGGAACGATCGGAGCCGCTGGTAACTGCATACGTGCCCGAGAATGGATCCAAATCAATGTTGAGCAAACTGCCACCCGAGTTTTCTGCTGACGTGCCGCTGACTGTTTCTTCGTTGGTTTCCGGTTTGCATACGCGGACTGGCTTTCCAGAATCGACATTGAATACAAACAATCGGCGCTCGCCTGTCACAGTAGCAATGTAGCGGTCGCTCAAGTCGAGTGACATGTCAAACACAGTGCCGCGACCAGAATAATTGTGATAGGTCGAATAAAAGTTTTCATGCGGCTCAATGTTGCGGAAAATGACGCCCTTGTCAGCACCGCAGCTAATAAGCCTCTTGGCGCTCTTGGAAAACTTGACAGCAGTGATGGAGGATGAATGGTCGTCGAGTGTTTGAACCAGTTGGAACCCACCGTTGATGTCGAAAACATGCAGCAATCGATCGCGCGATGCGGTAGCAATCATGTACGGGACATCTATTGTACATGCATGTCAGCGTACGTCGGAGAACATGCATTATCATCCATGCACAAAAAGATTTCACGGTTTTACCATTTTGGGAAGGATTGGTCAGATCCATAGCCAGAATTTCAGAGTCATGGGCTTCTTGATAGGTAATCTGATCCCATGTTTCCATACTATGGACACGGAGATTGCCGTTGCGATCACCTGTGGCTAGCAATTTGCCATCGTTGCTCATTTTTAACGATCTGATACCGAAATCTGGGTATTGGTCGTCGGTAAAATCTACATAATATCACTTAGCTTCTCTTTTTTTCTTTAGGCAATCAAGCAAAAACTTTATGCACGCTTACCAACATCTCTTCGTAATTTCGAAAACTCGGCCGCATCTGTGTCCACGTAGATCATTCTGACCAGTTCTCGAGAATAAATGTTTCGGCGATGTAGTGACACGCTGCTACTGCTGCTAGGTGATAAGGGTATATTGCTAGTAGTAGGCGATTTGATAGGCGACAAGGGCGACGTGGAGCTGGCGTTATTGGTAGATCGAGGCGAGAGAATGAAAGTAGAAGATGTTGAACTGGGATAGATACTGTTATCTAAATTCCAGAAGCGTACCGTGCCATCGGCAGAATGGGTTGCAAAGGAATTGGGCGGTATAGCGTTGACAGGTTCGATCAATGCTGGACATGGCTATAAGCAGATTGATAGAGTGCACATGCTTCATTATTTAGGACCTTGTTTTGCTTATTCACCAACTCGGGTTTTCGATTATCCAATATGTGGATCTATGTACTTACCTCGACGCCCCAGACACAATCACTGTGAAATACAAAGCTGCGGTATTTGCCAATCTTTTTCAAGTCTCGGATATCCCATAGATACAAGCTACGATCGGCATAAACGGCGGTTATCTTACTAGAGGCATCATCGTAATCGACAGCAATGACTTCGGGATAGTAGGTGTTTTCGTCGGTATGATGTTTGAGCATTTCAGGAGACGTAATGGCACCGATATCAGTTCCCAGGGGATGTGGTTTCGGAAGGATTCCGCAATAGTTTAAAGTTCCAGGCTCGAAAAGTCTAGTCTCTCTTTGTTGTGAGTCATCTGCTCTCTCAGTGCATTTTACTTTTGTACACCCATACACCACCAACGAACATTGCACATCAAAAATCATGGCATTACCTGATGATACCGCCTGCACAGGCACAGATAACGTAATTAGACGAAACAGCAATCGAATAGGCATTTTGCACCTGAAGAAATTCAAAATCATACAAAATCAATAAAGAAATATCCACGGAAAACTTTAACCATGTTCGCCCACTTCTCTTTTCTTTACCTGCAAGTCGACCCATTTATCAATTACTCGCCCTTCTTTAAACATGCATAGGATGCCACTATCCGTCAAAAAGTAGACGTTCTCAGTCTTTCCACGATCACAACCGACAGCAACAAAGTTGCTCTCACGTAGTGCACCCAGAATACCCGATCTTCCATCTAGTACTTGGGTTTCCCGTGATGATAAGTTGCCCTAACACAAGAGGTTGTTTATGAAAACAATAACAATAGCCAAAAGTGAGTCCTTTTTCATGATATATGTGAGAAAGAGCTAGTATACCCCCACATATTACTCGTTAAAACTCATCCATTCACCCGTCTTTAGCATACCCTTTTCGGAACACGTCCTCGAGCATCAAAGTACCAGAACTTGACATGTCGTAAACCCGCAGTAACAAAGTACGTACCATCTTTGGAAAACGATAGCGCATTGACTTTACTAGTAACTTTGTTTCCTGCCAGTTTAATCCCCTTTTTCCAGTTCCAAACGTACAAGTACCCATCGTGCTGTCATACGAGAAAATGGATTAGCGCCATGTCAAGGTAAGTGACAAAATAGCTGAAACGTATAGGGAGGAGGTACACCCCCCCAAGAAAAATAACAGGAGCAGACTTCATGCTTTTGCTTACCTGAAATCCGATGGATACTAAATAGCGCATATTCGGAGAGAATGCCAATGACAGGACACCAAACTTGTGCCCGCGGCATTCATGCAGTAGCATACGCCCCTTGACGTCCCAGATCAAAATGCGAGGTTGATGGCCCATCTACACATACACACAAAAAATGGCCACCCAGAGTCTTAATTCCACGAATTTAATTCGATGCTCCCTCCTCCTACTCATTCCCCTTTCCCCTCTCGCTCTCGCTCTCTATCCAACTCTATCTCCTCGATCTTCCTCCTTTTGGTACAATAGTTAAAAATTAAGATTACCTCGCCAGCGGCAAGATAGTTCCCGTCAGGCGAAAAGGCCAGGCAGCTGATAGGTTTGGCACGTGTACTTGCCGGTGTTTTTTTCTTTTTCTCTGATTGTATCTTCGGAACACCCGAGATTTCCGCAGGCGACGACCCCAGGGGCGAAATAAACGAACTTCCAGCGAGCATCATGCTATTAGCGGCTACTGCTGCCGCACCATTTGTCCCCGCCGCTGCTGCTGCCAAGGCAGCATTTGTGCTGCCATTATTGTTGGAGGAAATATTTGTCGTATTCGTAGGCGGATAAAGAAATCCGACTTGTTTGTTGCGCTTGTGATTATATAACACCACCACGGCACCCGCTGCATAAGCAACGAGATCTTGCGATTCGGCCGTGGCTAATATATTCGACGAGGCAGTTGTCAGGCCCAAGATACGTTCGAGTTTCAGCTATTATTAAATTTTATTGTTCAGCACAAAGGAAGTGTAGATCGGCAGTTTTCTTTCCAGGACAACAATGAGGTTTTTTTTTTACTTTTTGTGGAGGGCGTGATGGGTCTTTACGCTTTCTCCGCCTCATTCCAAGACCAGCGGCGATCGCGGCATTGGACAAAGCAGTTGTCGACTGCGTAGGAAGAGGTTGGAAAGGAGGAGTCGTGTTGGGTGGTGGCGGAGGCACAGTTCCAGCATTGACTGGAAATAGTTCTGTCATGATGACAGAATGACAGATATAGACAAGAATATGTCAAGTTGTAATAAAGAGCAAATAGAAAGAGAAAGAGAGAGAAGAAAAAAGCTGCAATGAAAAAAAATATAGTAATTACACAGCCTAATGGTAAAAACAGGTATCTGTGCTTCGCGGTCTTCGCATTTCACAAATAATGAATAGAAACTGCGCACATATCATATCAAGGCACCACATCAGGCCACAAACTTACTTGCAAGATCATCCCCTTTCTCTTCCTCTTCTTCTTCTTCCTACGACAACATGCACTTATGCGCTCTATACCCCCCCTCCCTACCCTACTAGATTGTACATGTACACACATGCATGGTATATGTGAGGGCTTTTTTTTATATAGATGCGACAATGGTGCCAGTCTTTGCTTTATACATAAGAGGCGATGGTGAGCGCAGTCTTCTCATGCATCATATAAAGGCAAAACAGTAGCTTTTCTTGTGTAGCTGGCCTGCAGCGTGCTTCAATAGCAGCATATGTTACTAGTAGAGTATACATATACTGGTTTTTATCTTCATAGTGTGCATTAAAACAGAGCAATTTTTCTTTATTGTTCGATACGCTGTAGTAGTAGCAACACATATACACTACATGCTGACTAGAGACAACTTTTTATTTAGGCAACTCATTGCACTTTTGCGTATCTTGCTTCAGTAGCGTCTTTGGACTCTGCACGACCACTTTAGAACTTGCAATGACAGGTAGTAACAGAGGAAGTCATCACTGTAGACGTTGCGTCTCCTTTGCTAAGCAAGCGTGGTACCCACGCCCTATTCCAAAACTTCATGTTTATGACGAACAGATTTGATCCACATGGTCGGGCTAAAGATAACGCACGGGCGTAGCCACCAGGGATGACGGGTTGCCCCTCCACGTTGTTGTAAAGCTTTGCAATTTTCGAGAGCTTACTGTATCTGTAATTACTACGACATTTTGTGTATAAATAGATCCATTTACCAATTATTTATTTTGAAAGGGCACATGAACGCATACAATGCACGCTCAGATGTGTATGTATACTAGTACATCAGTGTTTTATTGCTTGAGCGAAAGAATATATATTCATATATGTACTTTTGCGCAGTATAATTACCAAGGTTCTGTACACACGATGCAGCACCAGCAGCAGCCGCATGGTGCTTCTACCAGGATACACAGAGCATAGTCCCGATAGTACGATGATTCAATAGTTACATCGTTTATGAGATCTCCTTTTTTCCAACGTGTCCTCTTAATCACTTTATGCATGTACGCCGCCACGACTGCATGCCTTACAGAAATCGTCTGCTTGCTAAAAGGAAAGCACAGTTCTTATTGATTTGTTTCCTACATGTTCCGCTTGTTCTGGTATATGTGCAAGCAAACACACATTGTAATTCTATTCAGGCACGAGCCTCCTTTCATGACTCAATTGAAGGCTTTATGATCTGCTTCATTTAGCAGCAAGCAGCCTATTATATTCCTGAAAAAACAAGAAGCGGGCATAAGTGTTTAATTGTTACTGTTACTAACTGTGATAGTGCAACAAGTAAAAGATAAGGCAACGTATGCAAATTTACTCGTCGTTTTGGTGATAAAAAAACTCATTTCCCATACGAATAGATCGGATATGATTCGTAAATAACAACGTGGTAATCAAAGTATCTAGCTGAGTTAGCCGGCGAATGAAGCATGTATTTGTCATGCAAGCAATATGAAGTTCTTTGCGGCTCTTTATTGACATATGCTCTCGCTGAATAGGGCTTAAATTTGGGACACGGACGAATCATAAACTCTTTTTTGGTTGAAGATATAATAGAGAGTAACAGCATCCAGTAAAGGCGAATCATCGTCACCTCACTATGAGTTTTTTCCAGTATGATATGGAGCCTATTGGATAGTAAGGTTACTACAGTAGCTATTATACACCATCTGCCAAAGGGTTTGCTATGATGTGGTTTTCATTTTGAAATCCATTCACGACTATGTTGTAATTTTTCACTATATATAACTATTATTTCTTAATGTAGTAGTATCTGCATGGTTACACTTGACATTTTTGCTACCCTTATAAGTTTCCTACTTTTGGCGTAAAAAAATAAACAAGGGCTAGGTGTAAGGAAAGTAGAACCGTAACGATGATCCTTAGTTTGCTCAGTGTACCATTTTAATCCCTCTCTCCTGATATACAGAGTGACACATCCGACTCTTTGGTTGCATAACAACAGACGGGCAAATTTAAGTGTCAGCAAAGGTGCGCAAATCAAATACCCGGAGATTCGGCTTCCAAGTTCCGAGAGTCGTGTAGTGCGTGTATGTATGCCAAGGGCCGACCATTCTGCACCAATTTTTTTTTCTTTCTTCTTCGTATAATATATTACAGGGCTCGTCCACCACCAATTACCACCCTTCCACTAAAATTCTTGCGGCACATATAACTTACGATGCAAACACATCTATTATTACGAGACCATCCACGAGCACTCGCCTTACGACCGACCGTCCTCCATGAAGCACCTTCGGGTGTATTAATGTTTGAACAGTACAGCAACCCGGCAACCATGGGCGACCGCGCCATCACCAAGCTATTACCACTAGGTGAATTCGAGGACACCCAATGGCGCATTTTAAATAGTCGACCCGTATTTGGTTGCCTTGGCATGATTAATGTCATGGGAGGTTGGTGGTTTTTATGTGTTTCCTTCTTTATATTCCCAAACGATAACCCTTTTCTTAAAACATCAACCTTTCTCGTCCCGCCAAAAAAACAGAATGCTTTATTGCGATTGTTACAGATTGTGTACCAGTGGGCCGTATTCGTGCAGGTGAAGAAGTATATAAAATTGTATCCGTATCGTTCTATTCATTGTCGTCGTCAAAGTATGACGACTTGGATATGTCTTCTGCGGCTGCAGCACGGGATTATAATACGGATAGTTCAGGTGACGAATGGAGCGACCAGGCGGCAATACAACACCCTTGTGCTCAGCTGGAAAAGCTATTTTCAGTCGGCAACTTTTATTTTACCCCGGATTTCGATTTAACAAAAACTGTACAAGCAAGGTAAGACATTCGGGGGGATGGCTGCTAGGTTATAAATGTCGTTCACGTGAGGGTTTTGGGGAAGATACTTACCATGCATATGGAATTTCAAGGACATCGGATGCATCATCGAACGTCCATGCATTTGATGATCATTTCTTATGGAACAAATTTCTGATATCCGGATTGCTCGATTTTCGGGCGAAATTGGAACGAAAAAAGCAGATGGATCTTGATAGAGGAGGGTTTCTGGTAAGTAGAACATGGAATATGGCTTTAAAGAGCAAGGAGAGCAAGGATGGCGACAATGCACCGAGAGAAATTTTCTGTTTTTTTTCGGCACTGATATGACCTGTTATGTGTTTTCATTCCAGGTATTTGCCATCCGAGGCTATGTTGGGGTGGAAACTGTATCACTTGAAAATGAAAAATACGAACTGTCGGTAATATCAAAATTAAGTTGTAAACGGGCTGGTACCCGATTCAACTCGAGAGGTATCGATGACAATGGACATGTTGCCAATTTCGTTGAGGTAAGTGTTTAGTGGTGTAGTGAGTGGCAGGTAGTAGTGCTCGTTTTTGGAGCTAGGGTTCCTTTTCTAATGTCGACAATTACAGACAGAGACCGTGTTGTATTCCGATCGAGTATGCTATGCATTTACCCAAACGCGTGGAAGTGTTCCTGGTAAAGCAACTTCTTTTTATGTGTGTGTGAGAGAAAGAGGAAAAGAGCTGTTATAGACAGTTCTCTTATCAACGTTTCGTGAAATGGACAAAACCCAGTGTTTTGGGAACAGCAGGGCATCGTCAATCAAAAATTACAAATTGCACGAGGACCGGGTGCGACACAACCAGCCGTCAAGCGACACTTTACCGAACTCATCAATCGATATCAATCAGTATGCAACATCAACCTGCTCTCTGCACGCGAGCAGAACACGGGCGAATCCTTGTTGGGATCAACATACACATCGGCGGTTCACCAACTACATATGCCCGAAAGCCAATTACGAATGGTCAATTTCGACCTGCATGCCGAATGTCGTGGTGGCAACTATGACAATCTTGTTTATCTATTAAACGACGTACGCGGCTATTTGGATCAACATGGCTTCTTTTTAATGGACTCTGTCGACAATCGTATTGTCAACAGACAGACTGGTTGTTTCCGAACAAACTGCTTGGATTGCTTGGATAGAACAAATCTTGTGCAGAACAAAATTTCGAGCATGACATTGCAAAATTATTTGGGCGGTCACCACGTTACATGCTGGGACATGGATATGTTGATGGATCGACATTCCCATTTATGGGCGGAGAATGGCGATGGTTTGTCCAGAATTTATGCTGGTACAGGAGCGCTCAAGTCGGCATTTACACGGACGGGCAAGGTCACCTTTATGAACATGTTAAATGATGCCACTCGATCCGCAAATCGATTTTTCATTAACACGTTTCAAGATAAGGCTAAGCAGGAAGTCATTGATCAATTACTGGTTCGTTATCTCTCCATAATGGTTATGGGTAGAATCCACTCTTATTGCCGATTATCGGATTGCTGACATTAAGATCATCGTGTATAGGGGAAGTTGGTGGGTCAACAAGAGATCATAGTACATGACCCAATCAGCGACTCAGTATCAAAACTGATGGTGAAAAGGTACATATGCGAATTTCATATATAAAGAGGATTATTCAACACTAACGTTGTCATATCATATTTTGCGTTTAGATTAAAAGAATATTCAACAAGTCACCAAGTAACAATTTTTTGTGGCACATATAACTTAAATGGCAAAAGTTTCAAGGGTGAATCCTTGGATCCCTGGCTTTTACAACACTCACAATGTAAGTTCAAAAACAGAAAATAGCCTATAGTGAAGAAAAGAGGAAGTGAATTGATTTACAATTATCGTACATATGCACTAGGGGGAGATGATGAACCTGATATCTATGCCGTGGGCTTCCAAGAAATTGTAGAGCTTTCTCCACAGCAGGTTAGTAAGGACTCTCGATTTTTTGGCAATTTCATATAACTAATCGCATCTACAGGTCATGACGACAGATGCAGAGAAACGGTAAGAATGAGAAGTGTTTTCAATCACCATCGAGCAAATCAGGCTAAAGAATCTATTTATCTTCCTTTTCACGACTAAATAATAGCAAAATATGGGAAGAGCAGATAGAACGTACATTAAACTCGAATCCCAGAGGCAAATCAAGATACGTTATGCTTCGATCAAATCAACTCGTCGGTGCGGCGCTTGTCATTTTTGTAAAAGCAAATATTGTAGAAAATATTCGCAATGTCGAAACATCCATCAAGAAGGTATGGCTTACTTCCTCTCAGATACATTGAAAGAGAAAGAGTCTGACACATTGGTCTTCTTTATTGTGTAGACCGGTATTATGGGTATTGCTGGTAACAAGGGAGCAGTTGCAATTCGCATGGACTATGGCGACACCAGTATCTGTTTCTTAGCAGCTCATTTTGCATCAGGTGAGCTCTTGTCTTCACTGATTTCCGTCTCTTAGCAACATATCTAACTTGTGATTGCCTCTAACAGGGCATTCGAATTATGAGGACCGAAATGCCGATTTCCATACAATCAATACCGGCCTTCGTTTCCTACGTGGACGAACAATTGACAGTCATGAGTAAGTTATTTAAACAAGGAAAGAATAAGTCTTGATGTTTCTGACAAAACCTCTTTTTAAAATATAGCAACATATTCTGGTTAAGTGATCTGAACTATAGAGTTTCGTTATCCAACGAAGAGGTATATCTTATGAATTCAAAGCAGAAAAAGTCAGGGCGAACAAACTGCAAAGTCTTTTGGTGTAGCTCTAACAATTGATTGTTGATTTCAGGCACGCGGATATGCTGCCCAAGGAAACATTGATGCTTTACTCCAAGCCGATCAGGTAAATACTATTACAAAAAAGAAAAGCTTACTTAGTGTGTGAAATTGGCTCCACACTATGTAAGACTTTGGTTTAATAATTTTCTCAACTCTATTATTTAGCTCCAAAAACAAATGCAGCAAGGTCTTGTATTCCCGGGTTACCAAGAAGGACCTATTACTTTCTTACCAACCTATAAATATGATAATGGCAAAGATGTCTATGATACCAGGTAAAGGCAAAGAAAAGGATTTCACAACATAGATAAACTGATGGGTATAATAAACCAGCAAGCGACTAAATGGAAATGATTATGATGTTTTCTTCTGAATAGTGAGAAGCAACGGGTGCCAGGTTGGACAGACCGTATTTTGTATAAAGGAAAGCATTTAGAACTGGTTCAGTATGCCCGTGCTGAATTGTATACATCCGATCATAGACCAGGTAAGTAGCAAAGGAGATGTCAGAGAACTCAGGTTCTTGGCTGAGGCTAATATCCAAAACTACTAGAAAGAAAGGTATATTAATACATGTATTCGATTCCTTGTAGTATTTGCCCTGTTTGAAGCAGATGTACGTTTTATTTGGAAAAAGTAGGAAGCATAGATTTTATGATATTTCTAACGTTTCTTTGATAATGTTAGATTGTTATGATGGACCATGATGCCAAAGCCCGATTGCAAAAAGAATTGTATCAGAAGAGTCTGGATAATATTCCTGTAGTAGATAATACAGCTCCACCCGAATTACCACGTCGAAGAACACCCACTCCGCCAAGCAGACCTATTGTCACATTGCCACCACGTTCTATTGTAGATACTCTAATTGATCTCGGCCCTGTAAATGCTTCACCCAGTTGTAAGTGCCTCTATTTTTCTTCCTTCGGGATTGTACTCGAATTATCACACAGAACGGCTTGACTGAAAACAAATCTAACCTACTGATGTAGTACCGAAACCAAGTACAGAACTTTCCAAATGGTGGGAAACTGATGAACGTAAGTATGCCTGCCGAGCCAAAAAAAGCAATTACAAAGTCAAAGTGAAACTTTTATGCTAACCAACGTATACATAGCACTTCCCCGTGCAAATAAACACGTTGTTAAAATGTCAAATCCATTCCGGCAACCGCTATGTGAGTTTTCATACATAGCAGGATCCATCAGCGACTTTTTACACTAATCTGTATGATCTACTACACAGCTGTAACATCAACAAACAACACCACAAACAGTAACAATAACAATACGACAACATCAGTGCACAATGGCACTAGCGATAACAGTGTTAGACAAAACTCACTTTCTCAATGGATACCGATACAGCCAGCATCGACACCGTCATCCTCCTTGAATGGAACAACAACATCTAACGCTACAAGTCCAACAAAGGCGGCAGCAAAACTAACATCAACATCAACAGGTGCAGCAGTAATATCACCTATTGAAGCGGATGAAGATTATGAACGACATTCATCCACTACTGACACCGGCGAGAACAATGTTTCATCCGCTTTTGGATTTTGGAATAACAAGCAGACGGCAGCATCATGATCTTATCTCGTATCAAAATATTTAAATGATAATAAAAACACATCCATCTTGTTATTATATGTATATACGCAAATACTTATTACTGCTATGTATCCATTATCCTATAACTGCAAACGATATAATAGATACGGATGGTCAGCATTACGTTAAACCTCACCACATCCTTTATGGCTTGATGAGTTTCTTATCGCATGCATTCATATACAGAAACAAGGTTAAAATATTCGGCGCATGACTCAAAAGATGACTTTAGCTTGTGGTCTACTTACACAGCAGTCTATTGAAACCAGATAACGATGATGCCCTCAGCGTGATTCTGCAAAATAACTTTTTTTTCTTGACAGACAGACAGGCAGAATAGCCGTCAAACTTCAATAACGTTCTCTTTTGAAATGTGCATTTCAGAAGTACACAAGGACCCAGAAGGATGCAAGTCGTAAACCTGTACTCAACTAAGTCGGTGTTCCTGTACTGAAGAAACTTGTACTTTGTTTCGACGAGGTTACTCACCAAAACACATAAACATGATGGACAAGCTCATGATAGCCTGTTCGTCTTTTGATAATGTGCATATTAAGGACGTCGTTTTCTGGCAACCGCGAATATTTTAAGCCCTGAGTCTCTAGTCCATATGCAGAGGTTGTCAAAAAAAGCAAACTCATAAGCCTTACCAAAGAAGGGTTTTCATGGAGCGCGAAAAGCGAGGTCATTTTTGCTAAGGACATTGGCTGGTACAGTACAGGTACTCGACCGCCCACGATAAAGACCAGATGTTGGAGGTCTGACGTACGTTCATTGGTAGCCATGTTTGCTTTCTGAAATCTTTAAATGCTCAGGAAAGCTTTCCAAGGCTTTTGAAGGCTTCAAAAAGCATCAGGTTACAATCTTTTCACTGCCGTTCCTGCTACTGCCTACATATCTGCTGCCAATCATCCTGTATACCCTGACTGCTATTTTCAAATTTTAAACAAAAGCTAAAGTCATCCTTGCTAATTACATGCGCTAAATATATCTAGTAGCAGATGTAAGGAACAACTCATGCCGACAAGAGCAGCCAGGTGACGACGCGCTCCAGAATTTCTTCTAACGTCACATCGACAGGTTGTCGCTCCCTGGCGGTGCTGCTGCTCTCCTTTCTACTCCTTCTGCTCATCGACATCCTGATTGTTGCGGTTGTGCCCCTCGGCCGTCACTGCCACTTCTTTCTTTGAATAGGCCGTTGTGGCATATCTTGACTTACTTGGAGTGAACTTGGTAGCGATTTCCATGATCTGAATTGATGCCTTGGAAAAATTTTCCGAAGCACCGTTCATGCATGAAAACATCAGAAATCGTTGGCGTTACACACACTTTTGGAAATGTTCCCACTCGACTCTTGCCCCTTATGCATATAATACACCGATAAGAGGCCAGCTTAAGTGAACAGAAAAAGAGCGAAACTCATCGTGATTGCCAAGTAGCGAGATGAGACGAGTGTGTACATGGAGCCTAGAGCGTCTACAATGTGCAGGTGTTATCGGTGTGAAGCATGGACCTTGAGAGATTGCCATCCATTGCTCGCGATCCTTGTGCAACATCGGATGGTCCAACAGGTCAAACTGTGACGCCTACAAAAGAACTGGACTCGACTGCGCATTTCCCTTTCTCTTTCTTCTTCCTCACTGTCGAAAGATCTTTTCCACCTTTTCCACTTCAATGAACGATACCAATAAAAACCACTTTTCAGCTTCTTTATTGAAGGGTTGCCTTCTGCTACTTGATCCGAGTGGATGTACGTGCAGAATCAGTATTCGTTATTGTTTTCGGCGTACATTTGCGACTTTCATTAGGATCTTTGTGACGCAGTGCACGAGTCGCTATTGCAGCGGGCCCTATCCGTGAGCGCACTACAAGCCGTAAAGTTCTTTACCGCAGTGCACTCACAAAGTAAGTATACACGTAATTCCCCCCTTGACAAACTACTCTCAACCCATCTTCTTCTATTTGAGGGCTGCCTTCTACTACTTGGGTCCGAGTGGGTGTACGTGCAGAATCAGTATTCGTTATTGTTTTCGGCGTACATTTGCGACTTTCATTAGGATCTTTGTGACGCAGTGCACGAGTCGCTATTGCAGCGGGCCCTATCCGTGAGCGCACTACATGCCGTAAAGTTCTTTACCGCAGTGCACTCACAAAGTAAGTATACACGTAATTCCCCCCTTGACAAACTACTCTCACCCATCTTCTTCTATTTGTAGTGATTTGTTTTTGGGAGGTGTAGGTTCCTTTGGAACTGAGGCTTGAGGAGACCAAGGGAGAGCAACCTCTCCTTTGAGGAACGAAGGATTCATATACAAGCCGGTCATTTGCAAGCCATAATAAATAAACTTGTCTTCTTCTGTCTTTGTGTACAATAAATTTTATTGATTTCGTTTCTACTCTCTTGAAGAAGTGTTTGTAACTATCCTGAGCATGGGCTGATCAATTGACTATTATAATAAATGCTTTTCGAGGAGCAGCTTGCTGCAGAAAACGAGACCAGCCTCTCTCTGAAAGAAAATTATGAATTGTGCATTTGCCGGTGTGGTTCCGTGGACAGAGCGATCCATTTACTAATTATACAACCAGAAGTGCGATCTCTGGCGTGCCGATGGAGATGTTCACTATCATAAATTTGCCGAGCGGTTACTGACCACAGTGCATCCAACTTTAAAATTAAATGTAAAAGAGCTTTAAAAAGACGCCATCCATCACCATCATCAACTATCGAAGAACGTATCATAATAAAAAGCTGTTCGACGAGTGCCTGCATCTGCAAATGCATGTGTCACTGCTACACATATGCAACACCTGTAGTAACGGCGTTGATACTTGAGGCATAGTCATAAACTGGTTTTTTTATAACATACGCTATATCTATGAAAATCTTGTTTTTGATTAATGGCACAACAAGACGTAAAATGCTTCATTGGTAGTACACATTGTATATACATGCACATGGTTTAGAAACACCTTTGAGGTTTGATCTGATATAGGTAGCGCCATCTACTGTGTATCCAGGCATCTATGTAAATCTTTGTGACGCAAAACATGTAGACTTCTAGGGTAGCAAGCTGCTGGATTTGTTCGGCTGTGCGTTGTACAGTACCTATACAGAAGAATCGCTACGATTAACTTATATATGATTCATGAAGTCATATTATATATACAGAGTAACTCGGTCAAAGATGTGAGACAAGCGCGAAGACGTTACCATCTGTAATCAAAGGATGTTGATGATAATGTTTTGCCATGAGCGAAACAATATGCTGACGATCCTCTTTTCGACAAATGATCCCAGTGCGACCGCCAATGGATGGTGTAAAATGCATATCGACAAAGGGAAAATCTTCTCGTGCTTGATGGACATTGTATGCAGGTAGGTTTCTGCTTTTGTCCTCGGCCAGTTTTGATACACTGACCGTTGCATATGCCAGAGGCAAAGGTGCAGTCGTGATTGTCCCCATACGCCCTCGATAGCATTCATCTGTGCCGCATCTTTATCCGAAAACATGAACAACGGATCGAATCCGTCTTCTTTAGTTGTACGAAAACTCTGTAAGAGTTTCGGTCTTGCTTAAAGGTCTTCCTTATTGGATATCCAACACCGTTCACGTTTGCTATTATACCATACAACTCAGAGTCAGCACGATTTGTTTTGTAAGTGGATTCTATGCAGTACTCCTCCACATACTCGCACTCAACCAACACAGGGGAAAATGGCGTAACGAACCAAATGCACAAACTTCAAATGTATGCTTCCAAAACACCTAGTATTTATTGTCGTTATAGGATCATATATACTATATGCTAACTAACAATACCTTTTTTGACGCTCATAAAGCAAAACAGCTCAAGAAGCAAAGGCTATGTTTATCTGTTGGTAAAATATTGTTATACATACCTCGCGAAAGCCTTGATTTCTATAATTTTCAACAATTAGCCTTGAGGAAACTATTTGATCGTCGTTTAAATGGTATTCCCGCTTGAAAGTCTCGTGCCACCAATAGTAGACTTTGCATTGCCGTAACATCCGAACCAGGAAAAAGGACAACAACTTCTTGGTACAGATCAGAGGAATTCGTAAGAAGCGCTCTGCTTTGAATATGGCTTCGGACGTTGGCAGCCATAAGGTTACGTGGTGACTGATCAGTACCGACACGTTCGTGTTTTGAGTGGGTAATCGACAGCTTTACATAACCGAGGGCTTTCTTGACGGTGCCTCTAATACGGCCACCACAACAAAATGTGGGCATTCGCTTGGTCAAACGCTGGCGCTCTGCTGCAGGAAGAGGATTTAAAAAAAGTCTCGGATCGAGAGCAGTAAGCCGTGAACGAGATGTCGCGGGAGAGAGAAGGAGTCAAGTAAGGCCTGGTACGTCCGAGAAAATGCGTGCCTTCACGTGTCTTGCGGCAATCAGTACACTTGTACTGTCCGAATTCGCTAAAACTGCCAGCATTACGAGCCTCGCGTACGGTCGTAACCGAGTCGGAGTGAGTATTATCGTTGATTACTGTAATCTTAGGAGTAGCAGCGATGGTGGAGTTATTGTTGTGAGGGAGAGGGAAAAGAGAAGGAACGAGATAACAAATACAAGCCTCTTTTTCAGGGCAGTAATAAGCTTTTAAACTCCACGAACAGAGAGTATCATCATTATTTTCGACTAAAAACTATATCTAGACATTTATCGATAGGATGAACGTTACAATGTACGCATTATATTTGTGTTTTATGATGTTTCTTACCGGGTATTTAATTTCCGTCCAGGTCTACGGGATTTTTCAGCGGCTCCTATGACTCTTGGGGCCGCTGAAAAATCCCGTATACCTGTATCGGTATAATGTATACCCGGTAAAAAAAGCATCACATTTTCCCGATATGGCGTTTTCTTGATATTTCGTTACGATACTCAAACCACCTACCTATAACCATTCGATGTCATGAAAGATCAGAAAAAGAGATATGTTTAGGAAAAGATAATAATAGTTGTAACAAATATGCAAGTGTCTATGGGAGGTGTGTATCTGTGTAAGTGTGATAAATAGAAATGAAGGTGTTTATATATGGCGTGTATGGCGATTGTAATCGCGCCACGATCTTGGCAAG